GGGCAGGGGAGGCACCAGAAGTGAGGTCAACCAGGGAGAGACCGTCTGCCCTATCGCACTGCAGGAAAAGCTGCAGATCATCTACCCAGACCTCAAAGTCCACTGCCCGACCCTCAGCGTCAAAGGTGAGAACGCTAGGGGAAGCCATAACAGCAGGAGGCAGGGCAGTGCAGTGGCAGAGACTGTGCTCTTACCAGGTAGGTGGAGCGATCGGGCTGCTCGGCGGCTCGGCTGTCGGGCGACTCGGCTGCAGGGCGGCTCGGCTGCTGGTGCTGGGCGGCTCGGCTGTCGGGCGGCTCGGCTGCTGGGCGGCTCGGCTGCACGGTGCTGGGCGGCTCGGCTGTTGGGCGGCTCGGCTGCTGGGCGGCTCGGGAGGTCGGGCGGCTCAGGTGGCCGGCGGTTCGGCTGCTCGGCGTTGCGGGCGCTGGGAGGCGGGGTCGTAGGTGGTGGCGAGGTCGCAGGTGGCGGCGGGCCGCAAGAGTGGGCGGGGCCGCGGTGGCGACGGGGCCGAAGTGGGGCCTAAGTGGGGCCGTAGAGGGGCCGACGGGGCCGAAGTGGGGCCGTAGCGGGGCCGCAGCGGGGCCGTAGCGGGGCCTAAGCGGGGCCGACGGGGCCGTAGCGGGGCCGTAGCGGGGCCTAAGCGGAGCCGACGGGGCCGTAGTGGGGCCGTAGCGGGGCCTAAGCGGGGCTGTAGCGGGGTCGACGGGGCCTAAGCGAGGCCGTAGTGGGGCCGACGGGGCCGACGGGGCCATAGCAGGGCCGTAGCGGGGCCTAAGCGGGGCCGTAGCAGGGCCGACGGGGCCAAAGCGGGGCCTAAGCGGGGCCGTAGCGGGGCCGATGGGGCCGTAGCGGGGCCTAAGCAGGGCCGTAGCGGGGCCGACGGGGCCTAAGCGGGGCCGTAGTGGGGCCGACGGGGCCGACGGGGCCGTAGCGGGGTCGTAGCGGGGCCTAAGCGAGGCCGTAGCGGGGCCTTAAGCGGGGCCGACGGGGCCTAAGCGGGGCCGTAGCGGCTTAAGCGAGGCCGTAGAGGGCGACTCGAGGGGCAGTAAGGGCGGCTCGAGGCGCTACTCGGGTTAGGAGCTAAGCGCGCTCCGGGCAGGGAAGGAAAAAAAAAGTTCGTCGTGGGCCCTAGGCAGTATTCCCACTCGGGAACCTGCTCGATACCATGACGAGAAATGAGATTGGAATGAATGCACTATGAAACATTTGGGTACAAGTACTAACTCTAATTGGGTTGTACCCCTTATGGGCTACCCCACTACAGCCTACACAAATGTATAAGCTATAATGTTATGACAGTACGTTAGCCGTCAGGGTCGCGGTGCTGGAGCTGGGGGCCCTGCTACGGGAGGTGCTGGCGCTGGAGGCACTGGAGCCGGCGCTGCCCTGCTCTCCCCATAGCAGCTACGTGAGTGGTACGTTAGCCGTCAGGGTTGCGCTATTGGAGCTGGGGGTCATGCTACGGGAGGCGCTGGTGCTGGTGACTCTGCTACTGGAGGTGTTTCTACTAGATTTCCTGGAGCCGCTGGTCCCGGAGGTGCTCGTACTGGGGGTACTAGAGCTGCTGGGGCTGGAGGTACTGCTGGACCTGGAGGTGCTGCTGTAGACTCTGAGGTTGGAGACCCTGGCGCTGGAGGTGCGGGTTCTGGGGGTGCTGCTGTTAGAGACACTGAGGCTTGAGACCCTGGGACTGGAGGTGCTGGTTCTGGGGGTGCTGCTACTGGTGGTGCTGGTCCTGGTGGTGCTGTTGCTGGAGGTTCTGGAGCTGCTAGAGGTTCTGGAGCTGCTGGAGGTACTAGTCCTGGAGGTGCTGGCGCTGGAGGTTCTGGAGCTGCAGGAGGTGCTGGAGCCACTGGTGCTTGTGCCATTGCACAACCGCGACTGTTCTTCGCTCCGCCGTCGCCTTCGTCTCTGCCACCACCTGACTCCGTGCTTCGCCAGGTTCTTAGCCTCCCGTCTTCTACTGGTCTTCCGTTACAGCCTGGCTCACTGGTGCCTGCTCCTTCTCCTTACACTAAGCAGCCAGGAGATCTTACTGAGCGTTGTGAGCCTGCATCTCATCTTGTCTTGCCTGTTCGCACTGTCCGCGCTGGTCGGACTGGTCGTCGTGTTCCTCGTGAGCGTCCGCCGGCTGTCCCTAGCACACACCTTATGGCCCTGCATCCTTCCTCTGCTCCGCAGCGTGTTCCCCTTCCGTCCCCTCCTGCGTCTTCCCTGCCTACCGTTCTAGACCCTGAGTCTGACAGCGCTTGTGCTGCTCACCCTACTGTCACGCGTCTGCTACCCACTATTGTCACTGACCCGTCGTTTGTGTCTACTGCTGCGTCTGCCTTAATCGCTGAGCTTGTTGACTTTGCTGCTGCCTGTCATCTAGACTACGCCGCTAGTCTTGTTGCTGAGTCTGAGTCTGTCTGTCCTCCGTCCGTCGGGGGTGAGTGTGCTCTTGGCACGAACGTCCTTGAGGACAGGCAGGAGGATCTTGAGTGTCTTGCAGTCGCTGCGCCTCATCTCGTGTCCATGTTGCTTGCCCCTCAGGGAGATCCGGATGCTTCAGACATCCCGACCCTGCGCTCTTACGCTGAGGCGATTGCGGGTGAGTACTCCTCTCAGTGGCAGGCAACCATGGACGCAGAGATGGCATCCTCGAATTCCACAGGCACTTACGTTGACGAGGTTCCCCCTCTTGGGGCGAACATCGTCAGTGGCATGTGGATTTTCATGAAGAAGTGGCCGCCAGGTTCTCCTCCTGTCTTCAAGGCTCGTTACGTTGCTCGAGGCTTCAGTCAGCGGGAGGGAGTTGATTTCTTCCAAACCTTCTCCCCCACCCCGAAGATGACCACTCTTCGGGTGTTGCTGCACATTGCCGCTCAGCGTGACTACGAGCTTAACTCTCTTTACTTCAACACAGTTTTGTTACAGGGCAGCCTACACGAGGAGATCTGGCTGCGCCGCCCACCTGGCTTCACTGGGTCATTCTCTCCTGGTACCCAGTGGAGCCTCCGGCGGCCAGTCTACGGTCTTTGCCAGGCGCCGCGTGAGTGGCACGCCACACTGAGGACGACCCTTGTGGCTCTTGGGTTTGCTCCTTCCATTGCTGACCCGTCGCTGTTTCTACGCACCGACACATCGCTGCTGCCGTTCTACATCCTTGTGTACGTCGACGACTTGGTCTTTGCCACTTCTGACACTGAGGCTCTCACCCTGCTGAAGTCAAAGCTGCAGAAGAGACAGACGTGCACAGACCTAGGTGAGCTCCGCAGTTACCTTAGCTTGCAGATCACCCGGGAGAGAGCACGCCGCACCATCACACTGACTCAGTCACACATGGTGCAGCAGGTTCTTCAGCGCTTCAGCTTCACCTGGTTCTTGGCACAAGCCACTCCTATGGCTACAGGTCACTCGCTCTCAGCTCCACCTTTGAACGAGTCCGTAGAGCCGAGTGGTCCTTACGCAGAGCTAGTGGGCTGCCTCATGTACCTGATGACCTGCACACATCCTGACCTTGCGTACCTTCTTGGCCTTTTGGCTTGCTACGTGGCTCCTGGTAGGCACCGAAAGGTGCACATGGATGCTGCTAAAAGGGTACTGCGCTATTTGTGCAGTATATCGGGCATGGGGCTCGTGCTTGGAGGACGGGGCGACGTTGTCCTCACCGGCCACTCGGACGCTTCTTGGGTTGACGACCTGGCTACGCAGCGGTCGTCACAGGGTTACACCTTAGTCTTGGCTCTGGCACTGTTTTGTTGCGGTCTACACGCTCGTCTATTGTTCTCGGCTCCAGTTGTGAGGCTGAGATCTACGCCACAGCCATGGCTGCACGGGAGTTACGCTGGCTCACCTACCTGCTAACCGACTTGGGAGAGCGGTCTCACTCCTCCAGTTCTGTACGTAGACAACAAGGCCGCTATTGCCTTGTGTCAGAAGCACGGACTGGAGCACAGAACGAAGCACATCGCTCTGCGTTACTTCCTTGCTCGAGAGTTGCAGCAGCGTGGTCAGCTTCGTCTTGTTTATGTGGCCCGTCGGGCCAACACTGCTGATATATTCACCAAGGCACTTCCGCCTGCTGATCATCAGCGCTTTTGTACTTTGTTAGGCCTTGTGCCTACGTTTCTTTACTTGCTGTAGATTTTGTGTGTACAATGATATATGTATATATATATATTAATATATACCTGCATGCTTGTTTTTGCAAGGTACTGATCACTGTGTTGCTGTTGTTGCATATATACCTCTGCATGTGAACTGGCCTTATGGCCCTTTGCTTGTGCTCTGTGTGTGTGGTTACGTTGTGATCCACCCTTAGCTTGCTTTGCTTCTCTTGACTGGTCTTGTGACCCCTTGTTCTCCCCCAGTTTGCCTATGGGGATGTGTCAAATCATGTCTATGCTATATATGTTTAGGCTGTAGTGGAGTAGCCAGTATGGGGTACAGCTCTTTTAGGGTTTCATATTTGTACCAAACTCTTTTCTAGTTCATCCATTTCTGCCTAGGATTCAGACAGAGAGTTGTGTTCTATCGGTAAATGAAGGATGTTGCTGCGAATTCTGGGTTGATCTCCAAATGTTTGGTGTTGTGACACCATGTCAAGACCATGCTTGTTTGTGGCCCTTAGAGCGTATTCCTATCCTCGTATCAAGAGAACAGAGCGTATTCCTATCCTCGTATCAAGAGAACTGTGAAATCAAAGAACGAGAATGAATGACTATGAAGTGAAGTGAATACAAATAAGAAACCCTAATTGTGTTGTACCCCCTATGGGATACCCCACTATAGCCTACAGAAACAAGTAAGCTATATGTTCTGACACACCCCCATAGGCAAAGTGGGGGAGAACAAGGGGTCACAAGACCAGTCAAGCAAAGCAAAGCAAAGCTCAGGGTGGATCACAAAGTCACCACGCATTCCGAGCACAAGTTCAAAGGCCAGAAGGCCAGTTCACATGCAAGATCATATATAGAGATATACAAGAGTATATATAGGCGAAGGTACAAGCAAGGTCAAGAGGAGAGCAAGTGAGGCAAGACAGGCACAAGACCCAACTGCGTGCAACAACGCTGATGATCACAAGGCGCAAGTGCCTTGGTGAAGACATCAGCAGTGTTGGCCTCAGAGGCCACGTACGCAAGTCGCAACTGTCCACGCTGCTGTAGCTCACGAGCAAGAAAGTAGCGGAGAGCAATGTGCTTCGTTCTGTGCTCCAGTCGCTGCTCTCGACACAAGGCCAGCATGGCCTTGTTGTCTACGTACAGGACTGGAGGAGAACGAGGCTGCTCTCCAAGGTCGGTCAGCAGGTAGGTGAGCCAGCGTAACTCCTGTGCAGCCATAGCCCCAGCGTAGATCTCAGCCTCACAACTCGAGCCGAGAACAGAAGACGAGCGGGTAGCCCGCCACGAGACAGAGCCGGAACCAAGGCTGAAGGTGTAACCCTGTGACGACCGCTGCGTAGCCTGGTCGTCAGCCCAAGAAGCGTCTGCGTGCCCAGTGAGGACCACTGGACTGCGCCCTCCAAGCACTAGCCCCATGCCCGACGTACTGCACAAGTAGCGCAACACCCTCTTCGCTGCAGCCATGTGCTCTGGTCGGTGTCTCCCAGGAGCAACAAAGCGTGCGAGAATGCTAAGAGGGTATGCGAGGTCAGGTCGTGTGCAGGTCATCAGGTACATGAGGCAGCCAACAAGCTCTGCAAACGGGCCACTCGACTCTACGGACTCATCCGAAGGCAGAGCTGAGAGCGAGTGGCGAGTAGGCAGAGGAGTGGCCTGAGGCGAGGAGTACGTGAAGCCGAAGCGCTGAAGGACCTGCTGCACCATGTGTGACTGAGTCAGGGTAATGGTGCGGCGTGCTCTGTCCCGGGTGATCTGCAAGCCAAGGTAGCTGCGCAGTTCACCCAGGTCAGTGCACGTGTGTCTCTTCTGCAGCTCGGACTTCACGTAGGCGAGTCCAGCAGTGTCAGCTGTGGCAAAGACCAAGTCGTCGACGTACACGAGGATGTAGAACGGCGGCAGAAAGGTGTCGGTGCGCAGAAACAGCGACGGGTCGGCAGTAGAAGGAGCAAACCCAAGTGCCGCGAGCGTAGTCCTCAGTGTGTCGTGCCACTCACGTGGCGCCTGGCGGAGACCGTAGACTGGACGCCGGAGACTCCACTGGGTACCAGGAGGGAAAGACCCAGTGAAGCCAGGTGGGCGACGCAGCCAGATCTCCTCGTGCAGGCTGCCCTGCAAGAAAGCTGTGCTGAAGTCGAGAGAGTGCAGCTCGTAGTCACGGTGAGCAGCAACGTGCAGCAGGACCCGAAGAGTGGTCATCTTCGGGGTGGGGGAGAAGGTCTGAAAGTAGTCAACCCCCTGCCGCTGACTGAAGCCACGAGCCACGTAACGCGCCTTGAAGACAGGCGGAGAACCCGGCGGCCGCTTCACCCTGAAAATCCACATGCCACTGACGATGTTCGCCCCAGGAGGGGGAACACCGTCAACGTAGGTGCCTGTGGACTTCCAGGAAGCCATCTCTGCATCCATAGCTGCCTGCCACTGAGAGGAGTAGGGACCCTCTATCGCCTCCGCGTAAGAGCGCGGAGTCGGGATGTCTGGTGCATCCGGGTCTCCCTCAGGGGCTAGCAGTACAGACGCGAGACGAGGTGAAGCGGCGGCCAGACACTGGAACTCCTCCTGCCTGTCCTCAAGGACGTCCGTGCCAAGGGCACACTCACCCCCGACGGACGGAGGACAGGCGGACTCAGACTCAGTGACAAGACGAGCAGCGTAGTCTAGACGACAGCGCGCAGCAAAGTCGACAAGCTCAGTGACAAGGGCAGACGCAGCAGACGACTCGAAGGAAGGGTCAGTGACAGCAGTAGCAAGGAGACGCGTGACAGTAGGACTGGCAGCACGAAGAGAGTCCGACTCCGGGTCGGCAAGAGCAGGAAGAGAGGAAGCAGGAGGAGAAGGCAAAGGGGCACGCAGAGGAGCAGTGGACGGACGCAGTGACATCCGGTGCGTGCCAGGGACAGGAGGAGGACGCTGACGCGACCCGCGACCACTAGCGCGCTCAGTACGAACAGGCGACACAGAACGAGACGCAGGCTCACGACGCTCAGTAAGACCTCCAGTCGGACCAGCGTAGGGAGAAGGAGCAGGCAAAGGGGAGGCAGGCTGTAGCTGTGGCTGTGACCGGACAGGCTGCGGACCCTCTAAGGGAGGAGGAGGAGGAGGTGTAAGACCAAGAACCTGCTGCAGGAGCGGAACGAAGTACGGTCGGGGCCGCGCGGCGACACTAGAAACAGCAGGAACAGCACCAGCAGCCCCGGCAGGAGCACCCACTCCAGCAGCACCTCCAGCAGCACCACCAGAAGCTCCAGAACCTCCAGCAGCAGCACCAGGAGCACTGTCAGTCGGACCGCCAACGGCAGGCTCAGCGCCAACACCCTCAGCAGTACCAGCTCCAGGAGAACTCTCAGACCCAGCAGCTCCAGCACCCACAGTACGAGCACCGGCGGGACGCGCGGCAGCAGTACCCTCTGTAGCCGAAGAACCACCAGCACCAGCAGCACGCCTCCAGCGCCTGGCAAACCACTCACGCAGCTCCTGTGGGGAGAGTGGCTCCCGGCGAGACGAAGCACCCCCAGGCACAGCACCCCCAGGCTCAGCACCCCCAGGCTCAGCACCCCCAGGCACAGCACCCCCAGGCTCGGCACCTCCAGGCTCAGCACCCCCAGGCACAGCACCCCCAGGCGCAGCACCCCCAGGCTCAGCACCCCTAGGCACAGCACCCCCAGGCACAGTACCCCCAGGCTCGGCACCTCCAGGCTCAGCACCCCCAGGCTCAGCACCCCCAGGCTCAGCACCCCCAGACTCCGCACCCCCAGGCTCAGCTCCCGCAGCAGCACCAGAGTCACCAGTGACCTCGACAGGCTCGACCGCGTCTACCTGGGACACACCTGAAGGGGCAGGACCCTGAGGGGGGAGGGGGACTACCGGGGGGGGACCTGGTACCAAGAAGAGCGGGGGTGGGGGGAGGGACGGAGTGCGGTAAGGGAAGAGGCGGTAGTAGGGTACCGACTCGTCGAACGTGACGTCCTGGGAGGACAGAACACGTCGAGAGGTGGGGTGGTAAAACTGCCACCCAGGGGCGTCGGGGGGGAACCCCAGGAAGACGCAGGGAGAAGCACGAGGGGACAGCTTGTCCGCAGACAGGTCGCGAACAAACGCCCGAGATCCCCAGACCCGGAACGCCGACGCATCGCCAACCTTCCCCGTCCACAGCAGGGCTGGGGAGGTCTCCGGTCGAGAGACCCTGGGGTGGAGGTTGATCTGGTGCGCAGCGTACCTGACCGCAAACGGCCACAGAAAATGGGGAGCAGCCGCATGCATCATGGACGTACGAGCGACGTCCATGACCATGCCAATGCGGCGCTCAGCAATCCCATTCTGCTGTGGTGAGTCCGGAAGCGTGAAGGTCTGACGGATGCCTCGCGCACGACAGTAGGCACTCAGGAGGCCAGAGGAGAACTCTCCGCCTCTGTCCGAGTGCAGACGCAAAACAGGGAAGTCAGAGCCAAAGCTCCTCCGAAGCTGGAGACGAGCTGCGCGGATCCAGTCGATCAACACCTCAGTGACCTCACCCTTGCTGCGCAAGGGGAAGACTGTGGTGTAACGCGAGTAGTCGTCAACCACCAGCAGGAAGTAGCGCTCCTGACCCTGTCCACGGACGCGGGCTGGGCCCCACACGTCCATGTGAAGCGTCTGCAACGGGGCCTCTGTCGGAGGAAACTGGGAGGAGTGAGGGGCAGCACGCTGGCGCCCCTCGACACAGGGGACACAGGTAGGGCCAGGGCCCGGAGGAAGGGGAGGGAGAGACCGGGGAAGACCAGACACAAGGACTCGCGAGGCCATGCCTCTGAGCCGAGGCAGAGAGGGGTGGCCAAGGCGGTGGTGCCAAAGGAGGGTCTCGTGAGACAGACGACGACACGAGCAGGGGGCAGACTCAGGACCAGACCTGGACGCTGCAGCAAACACCTGACCAGACGAAGGGACCCTACCAGACTCAGCACCTGGAGGAGAAGCAGTGGTCAGTGTGTACAGGCTCGACCCTGGCCGACGTATAAACGTAGCCAGGTGGCGACCTGTATCCGCCTCCGTGCAGTGAGTCACCCGCTGACGAGCAGGGGTGAACTGGTGGACACCCGCATCCTGGAGGTCAGCACCACTCACCAAGTTCGTCGAGAACGAGGGGAGGTAGAGACCAGTCAGGGTGCCAGAGGGGGCCGCCGGACACGGGAGGACAGTGGAGAAGCGAGACAGGACAGGCCCCCCAGAGGGGTCAGCCAGGGACACCGCAACCGGCCGACTCAGCGGCGTGAGAGTGGTGCGGTCCCTAAAGAAGGAGCGAGACGCTCCAGAGTCAAGGGTGAAGGTGTGAGAGGCCGAAGCCGACACAGTACCTGAGAGGGCAGACTCACCAGCACCTGAGAGCACAGACGCACTGGCACCTAGAGCAGCAGCCTCACTAGTACCTGACGCGGCAGTACCAATGCCCGGGTCGGGCGGGAAACACCGGTAACGGTCATCCTCATCACTACCAGTCACAACATACATAGCAGAAAGAATAGCATCAAAGTCAAGATCATAAATAGCTACACCAGCCCTAGACAGCTCCCCCCAGCGGGGGATCTCAGCGGCCTCCGGAAACTGCTGACGCCAGGCGTCGGTCAGGCGGCCAAAGCAGCGGCGGGCTGTGTGGGCGCCTCCACACCTCTCCCCTGCACGGTCACCGGTGCGAAGAACGTAGGGGGAGGGACCAAGCGCACCACCACGCTGACGCTGCAAGTACCACTCACGGAGGTGCTGAGGGGCGGGGACGGTGCGAGAGCGCTGCTGCTGCTGTGGCTGCTGCTGCGGCTGCTGCTGCTGCTGCTGCTGGCGCTGACCACCCCCAGAGCTGCTCCGCTGGGACGAGCCACTCCGACCCCCGCCTCCACCGCCACCCCCGCCTCCACCGCCACCCCCGTCTCCACCGCCACCTCCCCCACCAGGACCGTCGCTCCCACCGCTCCCACCGCTTCCTCCGCTACCACCTCCGCCGCCACCTCCGCCTCCGCCGCCGCCACCAGCACCTCCACTCCCGCCACCACCCCCACCGCCACCCCCACTCCCCCCGCCACCCCCACCGCCTCCTCCACCGCCCCCTCTAGCTCCACCCGCTCCCTTGCCCCCCTTGCTCTTGCCAGAGCGGCGTCTGCCGCTGGGGGCAGACGCCGCGCCGACCGACTCAAAACCAGTGAGGTCGGCCGCAGTGGCAGAGGCGACAGAGGGCAGCAGGGGGGAAGGACCACACCCCTCAAAGATGGGGGTGCGAGGGTCACCCCGAGAGGCCCCTACAGCGACAATACTCTTCTCAGCCGCTAGCAGGGACTCCTCAAGGAGGTCGACAGTGAGAGTGGTGGGACAGACAGAGAGAAACTGGTCCCTAACGACACGAAGGGACTCAGGGAGACGGGTGACGAGAAAGTAGAGAGTGATGTACATGGGAGGAGGGTTCGCAGCGCGGAACTCAGCAGGAAGGGCAGCGCGGTAGCGGGAGTCACTAGCACGGAGGTGGGTAACGAGGTCAGCGACAGTGGGAAAGGAAGCGAGGTCAGGGAAGAGAAACGGTAGCATGAGGCGGCTAAGGGTAGCGGAGGAAGGGGAGGAGTAGCGTGCAACTACAGCGTCGTACAAGGCCTGAGCGGTCTTGCACTGACTAAAGTGGGCACGCTCAGAGGAAGGGAGGTGGCGACGCACAGCAAGACGTGCAGCAGCATCGCGGGTCGCCCACTTGGAGCGAACGGCAGAGTCAGCATCAGCAGGAGGGGCAGGGACAGCGCCAGAGACAAAGTCAAAGAGAGAGACCTCATCTATCGCATCACACAGCAAGTACAGCTGCAGGTCTTCAATCCAGACGGCAAAGTCAATGGCCCTCCCCTCAGCGTCAAAAGTAAGAACATTGGGGGTGGCCATGACAGCAGCTGAAAGTCTCACCGGGCTGGGAGAGTCGGGTAGGTCAGCAGCAGAGGAACACAGCTCAGGAACAGCAGCACGGCTCCTCAGGCGGCTCGGGCGGCTCGGGCGGCTCGGGCGGCTCGGGCGGCTCGGGCGGCTCGGGCGGCTCGGGCGGCTCGGGCGGCACGGGCGGCTCGGGCGGCTCGGGCGGCTCGGGCGGCTCGGGCGGCTCGGGCGGCTCGGGCTGCTCGGGCGGCGGCTCGGCTGCAGCTCAGCGGCGGCTCGGCGGCGGCTCGGGCGGCGGCTCAGGTGGCGGCGGCTCGGCGGCAGCGGCGGCGGCCCGGCTGCTGGTGGGCGGCTCGGCTGCTGCTGGGCGGCTCGGCGGGGCCGCGTAGCAGAGGGCGGCGGTGCCGCGTAGCAGAGGGTGGCGGGGCCGCGTAGCAGAGGGCGGCGGGGCCGCGATCGAAGGGCGGCGGGGCCGCGACCGAAGAGGGCGGCGGGGCCGCGTAGCAGAGGGCGGCGGGGCCGCGTAGCAGAGGGCGGCGAGGCCGCGTAGCAGAGGGCGGCGGGGCCGCGATCGAAGGGCGGCGGGGCCGCGTAGCAGAGGGCGGCAGAGCCGCGTAGTGGAGGGCGGCGGGGCCGCGTAGCAGAGGGCGGCGGGGCCGCGTAGCAGAGGGCGGCGGGGCCGCGTAGCAGAGGGCGGCGGGGCCGCGTAGCAGAGGGCGGCGGGGCCGCGATCGAAGGGCGGGGGGGGGCCGCGATCGAAGGGGGGCGGCGGGGCCGCGTAGCAGAGGGCGGCGGGGCCGCGATCGAAGGGCGGCGGGGCCGCTAGGGAAGGGCGGCGGAGCCGCTAGGGGAAGGGCGGCGCAACGGGCCGCTAGGGGCGACACGACGGGTCGCTAAAAAAAAAAACGCGCCTCGGGGCGCGGTTCGGTGGGCCCTAGAAGCAGTCCCTAGGAGGGAACCTGCTTTGATTCCATGTGAAATCAAAGAACGAGAATGAATGACTATGAAGTGAAGTGAATACAAATAAGAAACCCTAATTGTGTTGTACCCCCTATGGGATACCCCACTATAGCCTACAGAAACAAGTAAGCTATATGTTCTGACAAGAACCTCATATCAAGATTGTACTTTTTGTTTGGTAAAACTAGCGAGAGGTTTTGGGTTTAGGGGAGTTTTCAGTGGGAAGTTGATATGAGGTTCTCTTGATACGAGGATAGGAATACGCTCTCAGTGATGTGAAGCACCTGGGGGCATTTGTCTCCTTAGTTAAAGCCGTTGACCCAAATTGCAAGCCGCGCGCGCCAACCTTTTAAAACTTGACGCCCTGACTTTCGGGTTACCGAGTTTAGGGGAGACTGATGTCTGAGCGACACAACAGAGGTTGTGAACCAATGAGAACAGACCACCTGGTGATGTGAACCAATGAAATCTAATACAATTGTAAAATAACGCAGAACAGGATTCTGAAGAACCCGTCTTGCGACCACTCACCCAAAAACTTGAAACAGATTGTCATGCAATTTGGAACTTCAAAACACAAACTAGCACAACGCTGCAAAGTCGTACAATAGGGCCACACACGTCACTGGCACACTATGATTGCGCCATGGCCCGCCTGATAGCATTTAGTCGCCATCAAGATGGCATATAGGGCGCAACCACCAAATCCCTCGGTTATTGATGGTGGTCGCATGGGCAGTGTCGTGGTTATAGCGCTGAGGACAAATCTAAACGGCCGTTGTGACGATGGTCGCGTTCGCGATCAATGCCATAACAAACACAGGCATGGCGGCACGCCGCGTAACGGCGCGCTGTGACACGTCGCGGATAGTTTTAGGGCGCGGTGAGAGGTTGCATGGCGCATCGTCGCAAACACGTCGTCGCTCTCAACTACACGTGGAGTGATAAAACGCCGACTCGACACTGCATCTATGGAGCTAATGGCAGGAAATGCGCGCATCGCTTACAAACACGCGCATCGGTTTGAGATGACGCGACCAACTTGGACATGGCATTTGCGTCGTAGACATGTCGCCGTCAGGGCTACCAACACGTTCCAAATGTCGTGTCCGACGGTTCCTGCCGCACCCCCACATATCCTCCCATCAAATCCCCCCTTCTCACCTTTCGAATGCGTCCCCATTGTCCCCATGCCCCTTTGCAGCCCTCTCTCCCCGCCGTCATCATGTGGAATAGGGATGGCGCATCGCTGGATTCGGAGAGCTTCACCCCACGCCGTCTGGCTCGTACGCCCTCCTCTCCTTGCCTTGTTTGTAAGCGTCACCTTTCCCTCATCCCCTCCCATCTCCATCCGAGCCCACCTCTTCCCCTCGCCCCTCCCTTCCCCACACCTCCAATCCCTCCTCTCTCCTTCTCTCTCCGTTCCGCCGCAACCACTCATACCGTATGGCCCCGGATAGAAGCGCAGGCCTATGTTAAGCGCATGCGCTTGTATCTGGAGCAATGCGCTTATGGCCGATCCTCAATTATAAGCGCACCCCTTATAAAACCCTGATTTATTATAAGCGCATGTATAAACATATTTCAAAAAAACGGATTAAAACAGTAACGACTTCCCGTTTTGAAGCGAGTCCACATCCACTTCTACTCTGTTTGACTCCCTCGAGGGTGGGCTCGCTCAGGAAAAGCGCAACAGCGCGAAGTTGACCTGACAGGGGGGCTCGGGAACACCTGTTGTCTGTGCGCTGCGAGCGAGCGACTGCAGGCTATTGGTCGTACACTGGGGCAAGCCTGTGCGATGCGAACGAGCGACTGCAAGCTATTGGTTCGTACACTCTGATGGGGCGAGCATGACACATTCCTATGCGAAAGTGACGTGTCCTTGCCCTTGTGCGCCAGCAGAGAATCGCCCTCGCGAGATTCTGATTCAGAACGCTCCACACATTTCGATTTGAATGAAATTGCAAGACTCTAATGCACAGTTTGGTGTGTTTATAACATATTTCTGTGTTTGTTATTATATAAGCGCATGCGCTTATAATTTTGACTCATTTATAAGCGCACCCCCCTAAAAAACACTGTTTTATTATAAGCGCAGATGCGCTTCTATCCGGGGTATTACGGTAGCCTACCATCCTCTACGCCTCGTATTCTCCTCTCAGCCGCTCCACGCAAGCCGCCCCTCCGCCTCTCCATCATGCCGCTGCTACAGTCACTGTTTCGTCTTACGACGTCTCTTCTGGCGCCGTTGCGCCTGCTCCATTACCTCCATCCACAGCAGCAGAAGGACTTTCCCACTCCGTCTCTGCTCCCTGCTTCTCCATGGAGCTCCGTAATTGGTTGGAATCCTCAGGACTTGGCTCCACGGATCTCCTAGGCTCGTAGACCCGTGCCATGGATTCCGAACCTGCAGGCGATGCTCGGTCGTCCCTGGCCTTGCTGGCGTCGAATCTGGTCCCTTCATTGCAGCTTCGGCGGCGACAGGACGTTTTTGCCAAGTAATTTTAGTAGGGGTGGGGGATGAGATCGACGGATGGTGTATGAGAGGGTTCATTCTTTTTTGGAAGAGGTAGTTGCTGGTTGGAAGAGGTAGTTGCAGGTTCGGAGGGGAAGATGCAGGTGGGGAGGTGTGAAGTTGGGAACATTTTCTGGATGATTTGAGGGCGGCAGTTTCCAGGTTTAGGGATAATCGGGTGAGGCAGGAAGGCAAAGACCTAGAGAAGCTTGATTTGTCATTCTTCCTCGTCCAGCTGCTGCTGCTTCTGCTGCTGGTCCTGCTGGTAGCGCTGACGGCGGTGCTACTGCTGGTGGTGCTGGTGCTGGAGCTGGCTTCACCACGGACACGGGGTGGGGCTGCAGATGAGGGTATATCACCAGTTCACTCTTCCATTCCCCCCTTCCCCTCCTCCTCCCCCCACTATCCCAGGCTCGACTCTCCTCCCAACCCAGGCGAGTAGCGATCTGGCGAGCCAAACCATACGAAACAAAAACCAGATGACAGCAATGAGCCATCCCGAAAACAAACGCCAAATCACTTCTTTGTATTCTCGACATGCACAATTTTCCTACTCTCGGGATGCAGAAAAGACACACATCACCACTCCGCCTCTCGAGCTTGGCTAAATCTACCATCTACGCTAATATATCCCACCCCACCAGCCCTCTTAGACAAGCTATCACGCACTGCTGCCATAGAAACCCGGGCTGCACGAATGATAGCCTTCCACAAACCCTTTTCACCCTGCAACAGTCGGTAAAATGTCGTTTTTCCAGGAGTTGGCATTCCGAGGTTGCGACACACTTCCCACATCACTTAAAACCCTAACCCTCCGAGGGCAAACGCACCCACAAACTTTTGCATTAGCTGTATAGACCTTGGTCCGGTCCGCTTCCCATTAGGGGGGTTTTCCTTCTTCGTGCTTGTCCATCAGTGCCCTAGATATCAGACTTTTTACGCTGATTCAGCGTCCATTCAGACTTTTTTTTGGTACCTGGTCTGAACTGTAAGTTTTTTTTTATGTACCTTCTCTGATTTTTCATAGTTTTTTTTATTGTAACCGCTGAAATTTCAGCCAATTTTTAGGGGTGTAGGCTGAGCCTCAGACTTGTGTCGGAAGTGCACTCTGCGAGCTTATCGAAACGAAGTTTCCTGGAAGTTTCGTTTCGATATGCCCACTTACGAGATGGCAGTGGAGTGCCAGGACGTGAGCAACGCACGCTTCAACAGCTGGGACATCCGAATACACTCGTTCATCGAGAATATCTCCCAGTTACACTAAGAAAATGGTTGCGTGATTGCGAGATTTCGTAGACAAAATCTCGTCACATGTAAGTTATCGCTAATGTATTTTAAAGAATTGGCGATTTTGATGCTGATTCTTTTTAAACAAATCTGCAGCACGCACTGCTGTGAAATTGCGAAGCTCCTGATTCGTAGTGAAAGTCCCGTGCGGCACTGCCAGATGCTTACACACGCCACGCCAACCAACAGTTTCTGCCTGCTGCCAGCTCAGCTACGTGGCACTTGGCCCACCTGGCACTGTACGTGACAACAACCACATCGGGTGAATGATCACATTGCTTGAAACGCAAATCCAAAATTGACAAAATCGGCACACAGGCTAGAAAATGGGTACAGAACGGTAATCACACACACGACGAGACGAAATCTAATCAGCAGAAATAACCCATGCGCTGCACGTGACAAAACAACCAAGGCGATGCACGAGCACGTTGCCTTATGCAAACCCGCCGACCCTGACTGGTTCGTACCGCACAGTTGAGTTGGTATGCTGTGATTAGCTTCAATGCTATTATAAATATGCTTTTACGACACTGTATCATCATCTTAAAATTTGAGGGTAACTCTGACAGTTCAGACAAAAAAAATTGTGCTTGTCTGAATTTTCAGACTAAAATTTTGAGGCACCTCTGACAGACAGAGTTCTAGGAGGGGTGTACTCTGAGGCGTCAGACTACCTCAAAACGAATCTAGGGGCCTGTTGTCCATATCTCCGTGCGGGTAGGGCATGTACTACAGTGCCAATACAGTCCTAGTGAAGCCCATGTGGTTCTCCATGACACAAGGGACATGCTCCCGCCGCAACCTTCTCTTGTGCAACCGATCCGTAGTGGTGCTAATGCTTCTAGAATGTGCCCTGGCTCCAGAAAACATACCTTCCACAGAGACATCTCCGTGACTGCTGGTGCACGTGGCCGCCCTCTCGGGACAGGCACTGGTGTATCATTGAGGGGCTCATCCTGTTGTCTAGATCTAGAGGTTGTTGCACATCCAAACAACAAAGGGAACTCAGTAGAAAGTCATTGATCACATGTCATTAACACCACAACAGCTCTAGGCACATGTCCAATACACCACACGAGCGTTCGCTACAGAGGCCAGTGACACAATTCCACTCCCACTTTCACAACTCTTTCGGCCAACCCCATCCATGCACAGTCTCACCTTTGGGCTCCATCTGGAACCACGTCGTCATGAAGTACGGCGGGCTCTTGGTTGCATTGAGCTCTAGCAATTGTGCATGTGTCTGGCTGCTGTGAAGGAGCCCTCCCCTCTGTTTCAGCTCTTGTTGGCTGGGCAACTTCTGCACACACGCCATGGATTGGGGCCTCAGTCTACGAGTATATGCAGACTCAACTTCAGTTTGTCCCACTCTACAATTACTCCGTTTTGAGTTTTCTAGTGTTTCTCACCTTCTGTGCACGCACGTTCATAAGCCTTGCCCTTTCGGGCCCCTCCCCAACTAACCCCACGGACAGGGCGTAATCTGCCCCGTCTGTCCTCTTTGTAGGCCGGGAAGTTGTAAACAAGGCCCTCAATTTGGATGTCCTCGTTCCCAATCATCCCTGTGACTGCATTAGGCCCGTTGCTCGCCCGAGCGTCGAACTGTCGCCCGTATGCCTCAAGGTGCAGCTCCGCTGTTGCTAGTGCTTCTCCCCCGTCTGCACCTGGACATACGATGAGGGACGTAGAGGCACATAGGAATGCGCGTGTGGTATGGGCACCATGCTATCCTCACAACACTCACCCGTAAACCCCTATTCCCTCCCACCATCAGTTCTCCCATGTACCTGCGGCTTTGGCTGCCCACATTAGCCTTTTATACGCGGTTGGCGCATTCATCATGAAGTAGTACAGCACGTCCGATGTTGTAGCCTCGTTCTTGCCACCCATCAAAGCCGACAACCCGCAGTGTTGTAGGCATATGACTGGCCGCATGTGCTTGGATATACCGTGAGTGGCCTTGTCATGCTCGGCACTAAGCCCCGCAGCTGGATTGGCTTCACTTGCAGTTGAATCCTTTGTTTTCCTGCCAATTTAGGATGGCATGGGGTGAGCAGGGTGTGGAAGAGAGGATGACAGGGGTAGCAAGGGGATGGGAGGATGACAGGGGTAGCAAGGGGATGGGTGGATGACAGGGGTAGCAAGGGGATGGGTGGATGACAGGGGTAGCAAGGGGATGGGTGGATGACAGGGGTAGCCAGGGGATGGGTGGATGACAGGGGTAGCAAGGGGATGGGTGGATAACAGGGGTAGCAAGGGGAAGTGGGGCGATGACAGAGGTAGCAAGGGCGTGGGTGGATGACAGGGGTAGCAAGAGGATGGGTGGATGATAGGGGTAGCAAGGGGATGGGTGGATGACAGGGGTAGCAAGAGGATGGGTGGATGACAGGGGTAGCAAGGGGATGGGTGGATGACAGGGGTAGCAAGGGGAAGTGGGGCGATGACAGGGGTAGCAAAGGCGTGGGTGGATGACAGGGGTAGCAAGGGGATGGGTGGATGACAGGGGTAGCAAGGGGACGGGTGGATGACAGGGGTAGCAAGGGGATGGGTGGATACAGGGGTAGCAAGGGGACGGGTGGATGACAGGGGTAGCAAGGGGATGGGTGGATGACAGGGGTAGCAAGGGGATGGGTGGATGACAGGGGTAGCAAGGGGATGGGTGTATGACAGGGGTAGCAAGGGGATGGATGGATGACAAGGGTAGCAAGGGTATGGGTGGATGACAGGGGTAGCAAGGGGAAGTGGGGCGTTGGACGGGGGGTAGTGCGGGATCGGACGGTGTTGTAACTGTATCTTATATACAACATACATAGGCTAGAATGGTGTAGCTCTTTATGTTCTTGGGGGATTGGGTGTACACTCCAACCACATTTTGTGGTTGGTCAAGGTTGGGTTTGGTCTTGGTCCTTGGTTGGCACTTGCCAACTTTTGGTCCTAAGGCCTACCAATCACAACCTAGCAACATTGTGGGGTTACCTACTCCACAAGGCATCTCCCCCATTGGCCAACTTAGTGGCCAATAGGGTTTGCTCCTTCTTCACCCCTCTCTTGCTTGCGTGCTTGTACTATAGAGCCTCAATGGCTCATCATTCAACTACTCTTGAATTCTATCATGGTATTCAGAGCCAAATGGCTCACGCCACCTTCCCTTGATCCTCATGTTGTAATTCCCTCCCCGCTCCCTTACCCTAGCGGACTATGACCTACATCCGCCCACCCGCTCCTCAGATCTAGCCTCCCGCTGCTCAGTTCCGCCTCCCGCGGCTCAGTTCCGCCTCCCGCACCTCAGATCTAGCGTTCTGCGGCATAGATCTCCTCCTCCGCGGCCTCAATCCTCCCTCCCGCGGCCTCTATCCTCCCTCCCGCAGCCCCTATCCGCTCCCCCGTGGCAGCAATCCTTCCTCCCGCCGCCACGCCTCCATCTGCCCGCCGACGCGTCCGACCTCCGCGCCGACGCGGACGACCAGCGCGGCGACGCGGACGACCTGCGACCGCCGCGGACGGCCAGCGCGCGACCCCCGACGACCAGCGCGCTGCCGCGGACGGCCAGCGCGGCCTCGCCGACGGCCCGCGCGCTGACGCGGACGGCCAGCGCGGCCCCGCCGACGACCCGCGCGCTGACGCGGACGGCCAGCGCGGCCCCGCCGACGACCCGCGCGCTGACGCGGACGGCCAGCGCGGCCCCGCCGACGACCCGCGCGCTGACGCGGACTGCCAGCGCGGCCCCGCCGACGAGCCGCGTGCTGACGCGGACAGCCAGCGCGCGGCCACGAAAGAACCGCGCGCCACCGCGGACGGCCAGCGCGCGGCCGTCGACGCCCCTGCGCCAACGTGGACGGCTGGCGCGCAGCCGCGGCTGATCTGCCCGCCGTCGCGTTCGCCTGCCCGCGATCTCCACGACCTCGAAACCCTAATTCCTCCCCGCACTTCCGCACCAGCCTCTCTTCCCCTCTACCTCCTCCCCCTACTCCACCCCTAAAGGCACCAGCAGCAGCAGCAGCGGCATCGGCGGCGGCAGCAGCAGCGGCATCGGCGGCGGCAGCTGCAGCGGCATCGGCGGCGGCAGCAGCAGCGGCATCGGCGGCGGCAGCAGCAGCGGCATCGGCGGCGGCAGCAGCAGCGGCATCGGCGGCGGCAGCAGCAACGTCATCGGCGGCGGCAGCAGCAGCGGCATCGGCGGCGGCAGCAGCAGCGGCATCGGCGGCGGCAGCAGCAGCGGCGGCACCAATACCAACAGCAGCAGCACCGCCTTCACCCCTCCGCCGTCATGGCGTCATCCGACTCCTCGGTCGATCTAGCGACCATTGACGCCCTCGAGCTGCTCGGCGACAACTCGGCCGCCAACTGGCACTCCTATGCTCACTCCGTCGAGGTGTTGCTTTCCTCGGTCATCGTCAGTGGTTATACACTCCGCTCCGTCGTGTTCCAGGAGGAAGGCGGACTCCAGCCCATCGCCCCTTCTGCCCCCACCGGACCTCCTCCTGATGAGCCCGGACCTGAGCCCGAGTCCCCTGGTGATCCTCCCTCCTTCGCACCGGATGTCAACAATCCTCAAAGCGTGGAAACTGCCATCCGTGCCTACCGCAACACACTCAACGACCACCTTCGCCGTCAACTGCGCTATGAGGACGACAAGCGCGCCTACGACAAGGCTGCTGCCCGTCACCGCGACTACCACGCCCAACTCGCCACGTACACTACACGCCTCGCTAGCTACACCTCCGACATCGCTGCGTGGCGCATTGCTGACCGTCGAGCTCTCGCCATCCTCCTCGCCACTATCCCCTCCTCCCTCAAGCGAGAACTCTCACCCACCTCCTCCTCCCACCTGTGGCAACTGCTTGTTGACCTCTTTGACCGGCAGGACATCGCCACCCTCTATGCCCTCATCAAGGACTTTGGATCCATCACCATGGATTCCACTGCCGGCGCAGCCGCCTTTACTCGCCGCGTCCTTGACCTTGCTCGCCGCCTTGCAGCACTTGGTGTTACCTACCCTGACACCGTCATCTGCTGCCACCTCCTCGAAGGCCTCACTCCTGCCTTCGATGCCCACAAGCTGGCCTACATGCAACTCCTCTCCAAACATGACACTCCCGCTCAAGTTGCCCAGTGGATTATCACCACCGAGGCAGAAATCCTTCGCCACTCCTCCTCCACTGCCGCGGTAGCACATCAGCGCAGCGGCAAAGGCGGACGTGGAGGGGGGCGTGGAGGTGGGCGTGGAGGTGGTAGAGGCGGCTCTGGCGGTCGTGGTGGTGCGGTTCGTGGTGGTGCAGCAGCGGCCTTCCCACCCTGTCAGTATCTTCCCCTTTATGGCCCCACCCGAGGCCAACGCTGCAACCAAACCACTCATGCAACTGAGACGTGCTTTAAGGCACTCAGCGATGAGTGGTTCGCTCGTGGGAACTCTGGCACCCCTCCTCGCTGGTCCGCCCTTAATCCCCGCCCCACTCCCCTCGACGTTCGCACCTCTCCCCTCTACGCTCCTTCCTCCTCCCAGGCCCACCAGGCCTTTGCTCTCCCCTCTCAGCAGCAGCAGCAGCAGCAGCAGCAGCAGCATCAGCAGCAGCAGCAGCAGCAGCAGCAGAGTGTCCAGCAGCAGGGACCGCACCAGTACGGGCAGCAGCTTCAGCAGCTCCAGCAGCAGCTTCAGCAGCTCCAGCAGCAGCTCGACCTCCAGCCCCAGCTTCCTCTCCTCCCTCCTCCTCCTGTCCCCCAGCAGCAACCGTTTCCCGGCTGGACCGCTGGGAATGCAGCCTCTGCGGCCCACCTCTCCGGTCCCTCCCCTGCGCCGTCCACAGGTGGTAGTGTGACCCCCTTTCCCTCCTCTGGCTTTGTTGGTCTGCTTAGTCAGCCTCCCTTTGTTGCATCCCCTATGTATGCCCCTGCTACTAATGAAACTTCCATTCAGTACTCCGCCTCACCCTCCGCCACCCTTGAGTTCATCCTGGATAGTGGAGCCACTGACAATGTCTTTCGCGATGCTGGCAAACTCCATCCTCTCCCCACACCCACGTCCCTCCTCGGCGCTGACAGCAGCTTTTCCATCCCCTTTCACAACACGTCCACCCTTCCCTGTCCTCTCTTTCCCTCAGGTACCGTCACAGGTCTTCACATTCCCTCCCTTCGCACTAACCTCCTTTCCCAAAGGTCCCTCCAACAATCCATGATCACCACTGTCACCCCAGGAGGTGCTAACCATTGTGACCTTTTCCAAACCTCCACAGGTCGCTTCCTCGCCCGCATTCCCTACTGTCACCGCTCCCGTCTATACACCCTTCGGGTTCCTCGCCCCTTCACCTTCCAAGTTGCCTCCCCCCCCCCCTCCTCCCCCCCCCCTCCTCCCCTCCCTCCCACTAACCCACCCGTCCCCCCCCCGCCCCCCTGACTCTGACTGCTCATGTCGCTCCCTCTCCCACCCTGCTATCCTCCTCCATCACAGGCTAGGTCACCCCAACTTCGCCACTCTGCGCTCCTCTGCATCCTCCGGTCTCCTCCACGGTCTCCCCTCCTCCCTCCCTCCCCTCCCAAAGTCCCCTGCCCTCCCTTGCGTCGTCCGTGTTCAGAGCAAGCTCAAGCAGCAGCCGCACCGGAGCTCCCCCTCCGCTGCAGCCCAGCCACTTGATCTTGTTCACATGGATCTCTGGGGCCCTAACCCCTCCCCCACTCACCAAGGCCATCGCTACCTCCTCGTGCTCGTCGATGATCACAGTCGGTACTCGTCCGTCTCTCTCCTTCGGACGAAGGCGGACGCCCCGACTGCGATCACTGCCTGGCTCGAACAGGCAAACACCCACTTTGGGCGCCCTGTTCGCCGCCTCCACTCTGATGGTGGTGGTGAGTTCCTTAACAACCAGATCTCCTCCTATTGCCAGTCCCGCGGCATTCTTTAGACTTACACCCTCCCTCACTCCCCACAGCAGAACGGTGTCGCTGAGAGTCGTGTTCGGGAGATCACCAAAACGGCTCGGTGTCTCCTTGTCCACGCCTCCTGCCCCCCTTCTCTGTGGGGCTACGCCCTCCTTCATGCCGCCCTCCTTACTAACCTTTACCCTCACCCCCTCCTCCCCTCCACCACCCCCACTGAGCTATGGACAAAGGACAAACCCGATGTCTCCCCTCTTCGTGTCTGTTGCTCAAAGGCATATGTCCTCATTCACCCATCTGACCGATCCCGTTCCCTAGGAAAACTTGCCCCTCGTACCCTTCCCTGCATCTTCCTTGGTCATAACCCCTCTTCCCCCGACTATCTTTTCCTCCACCTCCCCTCCGGTCGACTAATTCGCAGCAGGGATGTCGTCTTTGAGGAATCCACCCCATACTATTCCTCTCCTCCGTCCACTGACCCACTCCCACCTCTGACTCGTCCCCTTGTCTGGTCTGACACCACCCCTCCCCCTCTCCTCCCTCCTCCCCCCATCCTCCCACCCCCTCCCCCACCGCCCCCCCAGTCCCACGGTGCCCCTCCCTCGTCTGGTGACATCTTTGACCCGGACCCCCTGTCTTCCCCTGTCTCCCCCGCTCACTCCTCCCCTGGTGCCCCTCCTCCCCCTCCCTCCCAACCCTCGCCTCCCTCCCCCCCTCCCCGCACCACACTCAATCGGTATCCTCACACCAGGTCGTGCGACGGTATTCTTGGTGCACCGCCCCCTGTTACCCTCTCTACCTCTACCCTCCCCCCTCTTTCCCCCCTTCTTCACCACTTCTTCCAAGCTGTCCTGCATCAAGCCCCTCATGCACCCGCCCCCTCTACTACCTCTCCAGCAGCGGCAGCGGCAGCAGCTCCAGCAGCAGCCACCGCAGCGGCACCAGCAGCGGCACCAGCAGCGGCACCAGCAGCGGCAAGTGCAGCGGCACCAGCAGCGGCAAGTGCAATGGCACCAGCAGCGGCGAGTGCAGCGGCAGCGGCGGCCTCGGCAGCGGCACCAGCAGCGGCGGCACCAGCAGCGGCATCAGCAGCGGCATCAACAGTGGCACCAGCAGCAGCACCTGCGGTCATCCGCGCCTTCCACACCTCCCTCTCTGAGGACTCCCATGAGGAGTTCCTTGACCTCCACCTCTCTGACCCCTCCCTCCTTCCCATCACCTCTGACCTCTCTGGAACACCAGTCTTCGCCTTTTCCTCCGCACCCTCCACCTTCATCCCAACCACGTATGAGGAGGCCATGGCTTGTCCCGACGCCCCGCTCTGGCTCGCCGCCATCATCAAGGAGCTCGAGGCGTTTATTGCCAACTCCTCCTTCGTTGATGTGCCTCGCCCTCCCCCCTCTACGAACGTGGTCAAGGGGAAGTGGGTGTTTCGCGTCAAGCAGCTGCCAGGAGAACCGCCCGTCTACAAGGCCCAGTTGCGCCAAGGGCTTCACGCAGCGGTATGGCTTTGACTTCTTCGACACCTTCTCCCCCACCGCCAAACCTGCTACCGTTCGCGCCGTCCTCGACCTCGCCGCTCGCCTCAACATGGAGATCCACTCGATGGATGTCTCCAACGCCTTCCTGCAAGGCGTACTACGTGAACTGATCTACATGGAGCGCCCCGCGGGCTTCCACCTCCCCTTCCCCGCTGACTCTGTCTGGCAGCTGCGCCGCCCGGTGTATGAGCTCCGCCAGGCTCCCAGGGAATGGCATGCCAAGCTTGCTGCCACCCTTGTCGAGCTTGGGTTTCGCACCTCCCGCTCCCACGCCAGCCTCTTCCTCCACACCTCCCCCTCCCCCTTCTACATCCTCGTCTATGTTGACGATATGATTCTTCTCACTGCCGATCCTGCCGAGCTCGAGACTGTCAAGACGGAGCTGGGCAGCCGTCTCAAGTGCAAAGACCTGGGAGAGCTGCAGCACTACCTCGGCATGACCATCACTCGCGACCGCTCCGCCCGCACCATCTCTCTCTCTCAGGGCCACTACCTCCAGCAGGTCTTAGAACGGTTTGCAATGGCGCGCGGTAACCCCCAGCCCACTCCCCTTTCGGTCGGGCACCACCTCTCCCCACCCTCCTCTCCCTCTCCCTCCTCCCCTCCTTATCCTGAACTCATCGGCTCTCTCATGTACGCCATGGTCTCTACTCGCCCTGACCTTGCCTACCCCATCAGCGTCCTCGCTCGCTTCGTTGGCGCTGGCAAGCATACGGAGGAGCACTGGCAGGCCGCCAAGCGCGTTCTTCGCTACATTCGTGGCACCAAGGACTATGTCCTTACCCTTGGCGGCCCTTCCCCACCCCTCCTCAACGGCTACAGCGACTCTTCCTGGGCTGACTCTCGACCGGATCAGCGGTCCTCTCAGGGTTATGGCTTCTCTCTGGGCAGCGGCCTTAACAGCTGGCGGTCCACACGCTCCTCTGCCGTCGCCCTCTCCTCCTTCGAGGCAGAGCTCTACGCTGCAACCATGGCCGCGCAGGAGGCGCGCTGGCTCACCTTCCTCCTTGATGAGCTTGGAGCCCCCCAACGCTGTCCCACCATCTGGTGTGACAACGCTAGCACCATCCACCTCACCAAGGATGCTGTGTATCATGGGCGCTCCAAACACATTGAGCTCCGCTACTTTTTCATTCGTGAACTCGTTGAGGCCGGCCATCTTCGCCTTGGCAAAATCGACTCGGCGGCCAACCTCGCTGACATCTTCACCAAAGCCCTTCCCCAAGCGTCCCACTCCTTCCTTCTGCGCCTCCTTGGCCTCACCCCTCCTCCGGTTTTGGCGGCCTCCTGATTCCATTTTCTAGCCTTATGCCTGTTGGGGGGTTGTGTTGTAACTGTATCTTATATACAACATACATAGGCTAGAATGGTGTAGCTCTTTATGTTCTTGGGGGGTTGGGTGTACACTCCAACCACATTTTGTGGTTGGTCAAGGTTGGGTTTGGTCTTGGTCCTTGGTTGGCACTTGCCAACTTTTGGTCCTAAGGCCTACCAATCACAACCTAGCAACATTGTGGGGTTACCTACTCCACAAGGCATCTCCCCCATTGGCCAACTTAGTGGCCAATAGGGTTTGCTCCTTCTTCACCCCTCTCTTGCTTGCATGCTTGTACTATAGAGCCTCAATGGCTCATCATTCAACTACTCTTGAATTCTATCAGACGGGGGAGAGAGTGAGCATGGGGGGAGGGAGTAAGCAGGGCGGGTGAGAGTGAGCATGGGGGAAGAGAGTGGGCATGGGGGAAGAGAGTGGGCAGGGCGGGTGAGAGTGAGCAGGGTTGGAGAGAGTGGGCGTGGGAGTGAGCCGGGAAAAGAGGATTGAGCAGAGGGGGAAAGAGAGCGATAAGAGTGAAAACGGGCGAGAGTGGGGGAAAGTGGGGCGAAGAGAGTGAGCAGGAAGTGAAGGCAGGTATGGAAAGTGGATGCAGGTATGGAAAGTGGACACGGTATGGAGAGTGGAGGGGGGAGTTCTGGCGACGGGAAGGGAAAGGGTTGGCGACGGCCCACCCTCGCAAGAACGACATTAAACTCACCTTTCGGGGAGGGGGCAGTGGAGGCGACGGGAGGGGGAAGTGGAGGCGACTAGAGGGGGAAGTGGAGGCGACGGGAGGGGGAAGTGGAGGCGACGGGAGGTGTAACGCCTGTGGGGCTTACACGTAAGGGTGTGAGAGCATCCGCTGCGCCTCAAATACAACCCTCGTTTTGACCCAGTGGGTAGCGAGGTGTTCCATTTGGTCTCAGAGCCTGGGGTTCGATTCCGGCTGGGTCACATTTGAATGTGCCAGTCGTGAACCCAGTGAACGATCCGCCGCTGGCCTGGCCCACCAGCGAAGTCGCTGTAAAGCGAGATTCAGGTCCTTGCGAGGGCCGACTCCCTGCCCAACGAGGACGTTGGCTCCAAGGGGGGACGAGTGTAACGCCTGTGGGGCTTACATGTAAGGGTATGAGAGCATCCGCTGCGCCTCAAATACAACCCTCGTTTTGACCCAGTGGGTAGCGAGGTGTTACAGGAGGGGGAAGTGGAGGCGACGGGAGGGGGAAGTGGAGGCGACGGGAGGGGGAAGTGGAGGCGACGGGAGGGGGAAGTGGAGGCGACGGGAGGGGGAAGTGGAGGCGACGGGAGGGGGAAGTGGAGGCGACGGGAGGGGAAGTGGAGGCGACGGGAGGGGGAAGTGGAGGCGACGGGAGGGGGAAGTGGAGGCGACGGGAGGGGGAAGTGGAGGCGACGGGAGGGGGAAGTGGAGGCGATGGGAGGGGGAAGTGGAGGCGACGGGAGGGGGAAGTGGAGGCGACGGGAGGGGGAAGTGGAGGCGACGGGAGGGGGAAGTGGAGGCGAGAGGAGGGGGAAGTGGAGGCGACGGGAAGGGATAGTGGGGGCGACGGGAGGGGGAAGTGGAGGCGACGGGAGGGGGGAGTGGAGGCGAGTGGAGGGGGAAGTGGAGGCGACGGGAGGGGGAAGTGGAGGCGACGGGAAGGGGAAGTGGAGGCGACGGGAGGGGGAAGCGGAGGCGACGGGAAGGGATAGTGGGGGCAACGGGAGGGGGGAGTGGAGGCGACGGGAGGGGGAAGCGGAGGCGACGGGAGGGGGAAGTGTAGGCGACGGGAGGGGCAAGTGTAGGCGACGGGAGGGGGAAGTGTAGGCGACGGGAGGGGGAAGTGGAGGCGACGGGAGGGGGGAGTGGAGGCGATGGGCAGGTGTGATTGAAGGCGACGGGAAAGGAAAGTGGGGGCGACGGGAGGATGAAGTGGAGGCATTGCGAGGGGAAAGCGAGGACGACGGGAAGGGGAATTGAAGATGGTGGCGTGAGGCGACGTTCGTGCCCATTGGAGGGTGTGAGCGGCTCTTACGTACCTTCGTGACCCTCCCTTGGGTGGTCGACGGGCCATAGGAGCTATTATTCCGTCGTTATCAAACCGTTTCTGTTTGTGGCTGCGCGCATCGTTTGGCGTTCTTTCCTCTGTGGCTGTGGTAACCCTAATAATGTGACAGGTTTATCGTACGCAGCGGAAGTGTGCGGGCAATGTCATGGCTACTTTATGTGGCTGCTATATGCAGTATTTAGAACTAGCGGGCCTGCTAGGTTGATGCCAGTGAATGCAGGTCAGGGTGTTGTGTGTGTGGTTTGCGCAGCTGTGTTTTGTGTTTTTGGGGCGCGATGTGTGGATGGCAGGTTGCGGCAATTTCTATTGGCCAGTTCTTTGTAGTTTGACTCGGCTGTTCGCTAAATAATTCGCTAATTCGCTGTCTGGGGGTGCTTTCTTTCGGCTCCCAACTTTCACTTCACACCCCTCGCCACCCGTCGAACCCCATGGCCAAGCTTTTAAAACTTGTGCAATTTGGGTCAACGGCTTTAAGGTTTGCACCTAGTGTTAATTTCGAAACAGTAGAACTGCAAAGGCCATCTGTTACGAGTGCAATTGAGTGAACGAGCGAGAATTGCACTATCGAAGCAAGAGTACAATGAGCGAAGGTATGAGCGAAGAATATATAGCGAAACTACAGCGGTAACGGTAATGGTCGCGCAACGAGCCTGGGACTGAGGTTGGGAACGTGCCGAAGCGTAGGCCCAGAGCGCGGGTTACCAGCCGAGCCGTGAGGTCGGGATGCGATGTGCGAAAATGGCGGGATGATGAATGATGCGATGGTCGCGAGTGGTAACGGTGCTGACTGAGGTGCTACAGTGACGTACGCGTTGAGCAGAGGTGCGAAGTAAGGAAAAGGGAATTTCCTTACACTACCCTCCCCTCTAAAAGGTCCTCCTTACGAAAGCGCGTGGACGTCTTTGAAGTTTCGGCTGCGTAGATAGTCGGTGACGACAGGGTGGTTTTCAATTCTGTCCAGGGGAACCCAGTTGTCCTCGGTGGGTGTACGATCTTTCCAACGAATCAGAAACTCAACTTTTCGGGCCCCTCGAGGGTCGCGAACTCTATGGCTCAAGATTTTGTCGGGGGTGATGACTGGTTCGGTTGGTGGTCGTGACATGCTGGATGGTCGATGTCGTGGGAGTTGGCTGGTGGATGGTACGTAAGGGCGAAGCAGGCTGACGTGGAACGAGGGGCTGACGTACCAGTCAGCAGGAAGGAGGAGGTGCGCGGTGACAGGTGTGATCATGTGACTGATTCGAAATTGCCCACAGTATCGAGGGCGGAGTTTGGGAGTGATGGGCAGGCGGAGGTTCTGAGTGTCGAGTAAAACGAGGTCGTCGGGCTGATAAGTGACGGGTCTGCGGTGGCGATCGGCGTTGCGTTTAGCGATGATATTTGATTTTTTAATTGCTTCTCCTGCCCTGGTCCGTGCTGCTTGCAAAGTCTCGGCGAACTGTTGTGCGCGTGGAACGGGATTGTCGGGGTTTGGTGTCATGGGTACTGTTGGGTTCTGTCCGTAATTCAACTAGAATGGCGACTGTTGGGTCGTGGCAGATGGCGCGTTGTTGTATGCGAACTCGATGAGAGGCAGCTGCTGCTCCCACGTGTTTGGATCGTCACACGTGGCTCGAAGGAGTTGCTCCATAGTCTGGTTTGTCCGTTCTGTCTGTCCGTCGGTTTCGGGGTGATACGATGAACTGAATTGAAGTCGCGTGCCGAACTGCTGCCACAGGTTCCGCCAGAAATTACTGGTAAACTTCGTGTCCCTGTCGCTGATGATTGACGCTGGTATCCCGTGCAGTCGAACGACGGTGGCGATGAAGAGTCGGGCTGTTTCCTCGGCTGTGATTGATTTCCTGCATGCTGCGAAATGTGCCATTTTCGTTAGTCGATCGACGACGACCAGGATCGCGTCATTCCCACTCGCCCCGGCCGGTAACCCCGTGACGAAGTCCATCGTCACCTGCTGCCAAGCACGCTCTGGAGGTGGGATTGGTTGTAATTGTCCTGCCGGCCGCTTCCTGGTTGACTTCATGAGTTGGCAAGTGGGACACGATGCCACGTGTCGTTGCACGTCGGTCAACATTTCCGGCCAGTAATAGTACCGCTGCAGCTGCTGCCGTGTTTTTTCTACTCCGAAATGTCCCGAGGTAACTCCGTCGTGTGCCTCCTGTAACAGTAGTTCCCGTAGTAGCGTGTACCCTGGTACCCAGATGCGGTCGGATCCAGCTTTTACGTAATAGGCTCCCTTGGCTGCTGCGAATTGCTGTGAATTTCCTCCTGTGAAGAATGGGTCTGTTTGATATCCGTGGGTAAATAGTCCTGTCAGTAACGGGCTGGTCTGGGCGAGTAGTATCGCATGTATTTGGGCAGTGGGGCGGGTCAGTGCGTCGGCGATATTCGAGGCTCCTTTTTTATATGTGACCGTATAGTGGAAATTCGATTCGAGGAAGTCGAGCCACCGAATCTGTCGTGGGTTGAGGTGGGGGTGTGCGCGAAAGTACTGTAGGGATCGATGGTCTGTCCGTACTGTCACGTATGCGCCGGTCAAGTAGCAACGCCACACTTTGAATGCATGCACGATCGCGAGCATTTCGCGGTCGTGTATCGGGTAATTTCGCTCAGGTGGATGTAGCTTGCGTGATTCGTAGGCGATGGGTTGGAGGCCGTTGCCGAAGTCCTGTAACAGTACGGCTCCGATGGCGATGTCACTCGCGTCTGTAACAACTTCGAAGGGGCGGTGTGGGTCAGCGATGCGTAGGACGGGTGGTGAACAGAGAACATTTTTCAGGGCAGAGAAGGCAGCATGCTCTTTCTCCCCCCACGTAAAAGGGACCCCATTACGCAGTAAATCAGTGAGCGGGGCTGTTAAGCGTGCCATGTCGGGGACGAACCGACGAACGTAATTAACAAACCCTAAAAAACTCCGTAGTTCCGTGATGTTCGTCGGGGGATGCCACGCTTTTACGGTATCCAGCTTCTTAGGGTCTATCTCAACCCCAGCCTCCGAAATGATGTGACCTAAAAACTCTAGCCTGTCCCGAAAAAACTCGCACTTGGAGCCCTTGGTGAGTAACCGATGTGCCTCTAAAATTTTAAAAACTGCTTCGAGATCTACTAAGTGCTGCTGCTGGTCCCGACTGTAAACGAGGATGTCGTCGAGGTAAACTATGACGCATTTATCTAAAAGTGGCCTAAACGCCTCGTTCATGGTCATCTGAAATGTTGCAGGCGCGTTGGTCAGCCCGAAAGGCATCACTGTGTACTCGAATGACCCGTACCTAGTCCTAAATGATGTCTTGGCGCAGTCCGATGGTTCGACCCGAATTTGATGGTAACCTCCCCGTAAGTCTATTTTTGAAAATACTCGTGCGGTTCGCAGCTGGTCGATCAGTTCGTCGGCGCGGGGGATGGGGTATCGTGATTTTATTGTTACCATGTTAAGCGCTCGGTAGTCGATGCACATGCGAAACCCCCCGTCTTTTTTCGGAGTGAACAGTATCGGTGCGGCGAACGGTGACGAGCTCGGTCGGATAAACTGCTTCTCTAACAGGTAATCTAACTGCTTCCTTAGCTCGTCCAGCTCGGGCTGTGTCAGTCGAAATTGGCGCTGTACAGTTGGCTGTGCCCCCGGTTCTAACTCGATCCTATGGTCATGCGCCCGCTGAGGTGGCAGCCCTTGCGGTAAGTCATCCGGAAAGATACCCGGGAACCGTTTCAGTAGTGCCTGTAGTTCGGGTGGTACGGCTGCCAACCGTTTCACTCGGCCGGTCCTCTTTTTCCACTAATGCGATATCCACTGCGTACACGTCAGCTCCAGCAGCGACAGCCCGTTTCATCGTGATGGCGTTGACCTGGACCGTCGAAGACTCGGGTGGCTGCCAGCGAGGTAGGACGACCCAGTTACCACTACTTCGCACTGTGCAGCTACCCGTCGTCCAGTCAATTCGTGGGTTATACCGTCGCAGCCAATCACGTCCCAATAAAATGTCGTGCCCATCTAGTGTCGTTGCGAGCATTTCCTGTGTAAACCCGAAGTTCCCTCCGCAGCGGACCTTTACCCTCTCCACCTTTTCCCGTATAGCCAGTGGCGTGCCGTCGACTAAGCGTGCATCTATCTCAGGTAAGCATCGGTTAAGTATTAACTGTAATTTCCGTGCGGTTGCGGTATTAACTAAGCTGTGACTTGCTCCTCCGTCAATAAAAATCTTCACTGCTACTCCCTGTATTTTCCCGTAGATTAGTACCGGGCAATCCGTCGCTGTACCCTCCTTATTCATCCGAGCCCGATCGATGGCATGAATCGGTACTGTGACTCGGTGAGGGTCGGTGTGGTTGGGCGAGCAGGCAGTCTCGTCAGTAGTTGGCCCAACTTCTACTGACTGCTGGCGTTTCCCTGCCTCTGAGACTCCCTCCCCTGCTCTGCTCCTCGGCGCCTCAGCTCCTCTGGGCATTCGCTCTTGCGATGGCCCGGCCTGTTGCAAGCAAAGCAGCGCCCCTTAAACGGTGCAGCAGCTGCATTCGTTGCGACGGCGTGTACAGTGGCGTGCTCGGTCGGTCCCCGAGGACGATGTCCGTAATAGGACCCCGATCTCGGTCGGCGTAGGATGTCGATCTTCTCGGCGAGCGCGAGAATCTCGTTGAAGTTAGAGAGTCCGCGCAGCATTATCTCATGCGAGATGTCCGGCTTTAGCCCTCCGACGTAACGGTCCACCCGCTCCGCTTCGTGCATGTAGCCGACCTGCTCGCAAAGTGCGAGAAAACCGCTGGTATAGTCTTGAACTGACCCGAGCTGGCGCCAAGTGCGCGGTTTCTGACGCGCCGAAATTGAAGCCGCGATCGGCTCAAAACGCGCCCGAAGTCCTGCGCACCACGCATCCCACGTGCTGTATTGGGCGGTCTCGCAGAACGAACTCCAGGTGACAGCTGGACCCGAGGGCCCTTCCTCGTGCGACGGTGGCTCGTAGGCGCGTGGCGACGTCACGATGACTCGCCACCAGTCCATGGCGGGGCCTCTTAGCAGTGAAACCGCATACCGGATCTTTGCGGCGTCCGACTCGACGTAATTGGCGTCGAAGAAAACGTTCATCGTGAAGACCCACGATTGAACTGTCGGACCGCCGCGTTGACTTGGGTCGAAGCAGGGCGGGCGTTGCGGCTTGAGCGGCATTGGTGCCATGTTGGGTTGTTCGCCACTTGTCGCCGCAAATTCCACGTGCCGACGGACTTCTCGAGGCTCCCGTGGGCTTGGTGCGATCCTGTTTCCTCCCATGCCAGGCATCGGCTGGGCGGCGCCCTCACTGGCTGCGCCTGAGCGTTGTCCCGTGCTGTCCTGTTGTGTTGGTGTGCCGGACGAGATGATGATCGGCTCATCCGAACGTGCAGATGCGTTTGTTGGTGCGTGGGATGTCGTCGGTACGTTCATCGTGGATTGTTGACGGGCGGAGTCACGTTCCGCCGTGAGGGTCGCGATTTCAAGCGCCGAATCCTCCAGTTGACGCACGAGACGATCAAGTTGCTCCTGCGTCAATGTGGCGAGCGTGAAATCGGCCATGGCGGGGGTGTCGGGCAAGCTCAGCGAGAGCCTCGGTCGTGGCCGTGCGTGCTTGCGAGAGAGCACTACGAGCGGCGGTGCTTTATCGCTGAGAGACGTCTACCCCCCCCAAAAATTGAGATAGTGGGGAAGTGAAGGTGTGGATGCGGTCCGAGATGGGATCGTAGGCTCTGATACCAAGTGTTACGAGTGCAATTGAGTGAACGAGCGAGAATTGCACTATCGAAGCAAGAGTACAATGAGCGAAGGTATGAGCGAAGAATATATAGCGAAACTACGGTGGTAACGGTAATGGTCGCGCAACGAGCCTGGGACTGAGGTTGGGAACGTGTCGAAGCGTAGGCCCGGAGCGCGGGTTACCAGCCGAGCCGTGAGGTCGGGATGCGATGTGCGAAAATGGCGGGATGATGAATGATGCGATGGTCGCGAGTGGTAACGGTGCTGACTGAGGTGCTACAGTGACGTACGCGTTGAGCAGAGGTGCGAAGTAAGGAAAAGGGAATTTCCTTACACCATCATAAGACACCGAGACGCACTGTCTGTTTCTCTGTGAGATTGATCTGCTTGAATGAATAGCTAGGTGCATAGATTCGCAGAGTTCGTGTTGTACACATCCTTCGAAAATTCTTATGCAGACATCAAGATTTATTCATACAATAATGAGATGATATGCTCTTACCGAACAAGTTAATTTGCAACCCCCTCTCCCCCCACCCCCTCTCCCCCCCTTTCCCCCTTCCCCTTGCTCATCGAGTTGTCATGGCGTGGTGAACAAGCACTACTAAACACCGAGTCTAACCTATTTGGAGTAAAACAGAAACGCACTTCCGCATAATTTGATCTCATTCAACCGAAGCTACACTTGATATTGGAGTTGGTGCCACACCCTTGAGATTGCATCTGTGGAACAATTCATTGAGTCATGGGGGATGGGTGGCGTGGCGGTGCTGCTGGATGGGTGAAGTAGTCAATCAACAAACATAGCATCGTAGAAATCTAGGACACGGGATTAGTTCCTTTGTCCCTGAATTTAGTCAGCAGGATGGCCGTTGGCTGATGTCAGAGAGTTTCCTTAGACTACCAGCTTGGTTCAGTACTTTTGTTTTCTAGTCCGATGATACATTTTAGGCTCTTGGTCCAGTACTTGCATTTTCATTGATTGTAGTCCAAGACTCCTGGTCCCCCTCGCTCTTCCTGCAGCAATTGAGTAGATCATGCACCACCCAGGCTACTAGGCTATTATAGTCGCTAACGTTTGCGTCAATTTCCGCCCGGAGGTAGTACAAACCGTCAATTGTCTTTAGACATTTGTTTTAAGGCCTTTCTGTTCTCATCGGCAGCCTTACGTCGGCAGCCTTACGATTAAGTTGGCCGAAGCAGCCGAATCCCAATTCCACATCTCCCGTCCATGTTTAGGCAAAATGAAGAGCTACTTGATTGTCGCACATCGTTATGTTTATTCGCTGGGGGTCGCATCGTCATTCCGAAATGATCATGCGACGTGAATTTCCACGTTCGCGGATGTTTCGTCACTCGCCTTAGTTAATGCAGCTATTTCATCTGAGCATTCGGTACCGGCGTGATGGCAGCTGCATGGTGGATCGTCAGAATGCTGCCAATCCTCCTGGCAGGCCTCTTAGGGCTAGCCGGGTTCATGTCCGTTACCGTCTACGTTATCGTCTTATGGCTCCGCCGAAAGGACTCAGAAGAGGTACCACGCACAACTCCCTCACGACCCGGCTTGTCAATTCCTCCATTCACTGACAAATCGTGAGTAACTGAAAGTTACCCCACTCACTTCCATTTCTCTCATTCCTTGCAATTTCCGCACTCACTAACATCGTCCCGTCTCCCTGACATGCTCACCTTTCCCTGACATTCCCCTGTCTCCTTATTTCTTGTTCAATCCTAGCATTCCACTTAGCTCACAAATTGCCAAGAGCATTTGACCCGACTTAAAGCCTCCCTCGCCCTCGCCTTCCCCTTCGTCACCCCACAGATCGCTAAGGAGCTCATTGTGCGAGCCAAGGCCAGTCTACGTGGCGCGACGCCCGCTGACGTGGCGGCTGGCGTGGCGCAGCTCTCCGCGGCGGTGGACCGCGCGCCGTGGCTGGCGGCGTCGCTGCAGGAGATCCGCGCGCGCGCGCTGATGCGCCTGCAGCGGTACGAGGAGGTGGTGGCGGTGCTGGCGGAGTATCTACCGGATTTATCTACAGTGCACAATGCCATGCACTACAGTGAGTTTGTGGGGTTGCTCATAGCGGGTACAGGCGATGGTGTGGCGTAGGGAAGGAAGGAAGTGCGCTGATGCGCCTGCACCGGTACGAGGAGGTGGTGGCGGTGCTGGCGGAGTACCTGCCAGACCTGTCTACTGTGCACAACGCTATGCACTGCGGTGAGTTGTGGTTCGTTCTTTTTAGCGAGTACAGACAGGCAAAGACGCTAGCAACGCCAATGAGCGTTCAAAAGAGGTGTGCATTGGTGAGGAACGGTTATAATTCGCCTCTCTTGTCCCCTTCCCTCTGTCTCTCTCCCTCCCTCTCTCGCCACCTCTCCCCTTCTCTTCTTCTCCTCCTGACAGCGGAGGACGAGAACAAGTCAGCCACGGACATGTGGCAGTGTCTGCTACTGGGGCAGGCCACGTACCACCTGGGCTGGCTGGACGAGGCGCTCGTGCTCCTCAGACGCGCCAAGAGGCTCAGCCAGGCTGTAGCGCGGTGAGTCATGAGACTGGCTGTAGCATGGCGAGTCACTTGACAGGCTGTAGCGCGCGCAACTGGCTGTAGGGCGTGGCGGGTCACAACTCTGGCTGTTGTTTTGGTGAGTTATAAGTCTGGCTGTAGCGCGGTGAGCCGTTGGCCCAAATTGTTCAGGTTTTAAAAGGTTGACTAGGAGGTAGTTCAGTTTCTGGGCCGTGGCGAGAGGATCAATTTCGTCAAATCTGTTTTTTTTTGCATTACACAGCCAAACTTCGTCTTTCCCCCTGGTGGGAGCTCGAAATTCCCAAATTGCAGCTGCACTTTTTTTCAATTTTGCAAGCTGCTCAGCATCAAGTTTAAAAAACTTGACCCGCGCGGCTTGCAATTTGGGACTCGGGCTTTAAGCTTGGCGAATCACGGGATGAGACGAGTTTTTGCCCTCAGCAGCATCAACATTTGCCCTTGTCGTCTCCCTCTTGCTCTCTAACACACTCTCTCCTCCCTCCCTTTCCTCCCCGGCTCCCCTTCTCCCCGTGCTTCAACATGCTTCTTTCCCTCACCCTAGCAAGGAGAGTGCACTGATAGACGAGGACCAGTTCCAGTGTTCAATGCCTCCCACCCCGCAGCCACAGCAGCCGTTTTCTCACATTGCCTTCAAATTAACCGCCACATCCCCCTGATCCCCTCACCCCAGCAAGGAGAGCGCAATGATGGATGAGGACCAATTCCCAGTGTTCGACGCCCCCCACCCAACAGCCACAACGCCACAAACTCACATCCCCTTCCCTCCCCATTCCCCCGTCCCCCTCTCACCCCACCCCAGCAAGGAGAGTGCGATGATGGACGAGGACCGGTTTCCAGTGTTCGATGCCTCGCATCCCGCAGCCACGGCGCCCCAACCCTATCCCCTGCCTCACCCCCCCTTTTGAGGCGCCTCAAAAGTCGTCTTATTACCGCAGTGTTCGATGCCTCGCATCCCGCAGCCACGGCGCCCCAACCCTATCCCCTGCCTCACCCCCCCTTTCCCTTCCCACCATCGCTCCTCCCGATTCCCTCACACCAGCAAGGAGAGTGCAATGATGGACGAGGACCAGTTTCCAGTCTTCGACGCCTCCCACCCTGCAGCCATGGCGCCCCTCTCCGCGCCCTCCTCAGCGGGGGAGACACTCAACCTTCCCATCCTTGTCATCCTCTTCCAATGAGACGAGTTCTGAGACGCCCCAAAACTCGTTTCCTTCAACCCCGTATTCCCCTCACCGTCTTTCCCACTCCCTTCTCCCCTCTTCTTCCCCCTGACTCCCCACACCAGCAAGGAGAGTGCGAGGATGGACGAGGACCAGTTCCCAGTCGTCGATGCCTCCCACCCCGCAGCCACGGCTCCACACTTTCACATCCCCTTCCCTCCCCATCCGCCCGGCCCCTCCCATTCACACCAGCAAGGAGAGTGCAATGATGGACGAGGACCAGTTCCCAGTCTTCGACGCCTCCCACCCTGCAGCCATGGCGCCTCTCTCCGCGTCCTCCTCAGCGGGGGAGACACTCAACCGCCTCATTCTCGTCATCCGCTTCCTGCTCTGGCGCCGCTCCGCTGGCGACGCTGCCTTTGCTGCCGGGCTCTATCCGGAAGCTGTCCGCCACTACTCAAAGGGTGAGGCCAAATGACTAGGGTGTGTGTGCGTGTGTGTGTATGTGCGCCTGTGTGTGTGCATGGGAGTGGGTGCCTCGCTTCGTCATCCGCTTCCTGCTCTGGCGCCGCTCTGCTGGTGACACTGCCTTTGCTGCGGGCCTCTACCCCGAGGCTGTCAGACACTACTCGAGGGTGTTTTTGAGAAGTCTCACCCTGCTGCGGGCCTCTACCCCGAGGCTCTCAGACACTACTCGAGGGTGTTTTTGAGAAGTCTCACCCTGCTGCGGGCCTCTACCCCGAGGCTCTCAGACACTACTCGAGGGTGTTTTTGAGAAGTCTCACCCTGCTGCGGGCCTCTACCCCGAGGCTCTCAGACACTACTCGAGGGTGTTTTTGAGAAGTCTCACCCTGCTGCGGGCCTCTACCCCGAGGCTCTCAGACACTACTCGAGGGTGTTTTTGAGAAGTCTCAAAAACACCCTGCTGCGGGCCTCTACCCCGAGGCTGTCAGACACTACTCGAGGGTGTTTTTGAGAAGTCTCAAAAACACCCTGCTGCGGGCCTCTACCCCGAGGCTGTCAGACACTACTCGAGGGTGTTTTTGAGACTTCTCAAAAACACCCTGCTGCGGGCCTCTACCCCGAGGCTGTCAGACACTACTCGAAAGGTGAGAAGTCTTATCACGGGTGTGTGCTTGTGGGTGGCTTTGAGCATGTGAGAACGAGGGTTTGTTTCCTGTGTGTGTGTTCGTTCATGCGCCTGAAGCAAATTCGTCCTTTCTACTTTTCTCCCTCACTCCCCTTCCCCCTTCGCGTCCCCCAAAACCATTCTCCTCCCCTCCTGCACAGTTCTCGAGTCCAAGAAGGTCATTCCGCAATCCCTAGCTGCCTCTCTCTTCCTCCACCAAGCATCAGATTTTATCTCTTGAACTATTTTCTAACCCCCCTCTTCAACCCCCCCCCGGACCCGGTGCAGTTCTCGAGTCCAAGAAGGGCATTCCGCAATCCCTAGCTGCCTCTCTCTTCCTCCACCAAGCATCAGATTTTATCTCTTGAACTATTTTCTAACCCCCCTCTTCAACCCCCCCCCGGACCCGGTGCAGTTCTCGAGTCCAAGAAGTGCATTCCGCAATCCCTAGCTGCCTCTCTCTTCCTCCACCAAGCATCAGATTTTGTCTCTTGAACTATTTTCTAACCCCCCTCTTCAACCCCCCCCCCGGACCCGGTGCAGTTCTCGAGTCCAAGAAGGGCATTCCCCAGTCACTAGCTGCCTCTCTCTTCCTCCGCCGAGCTGCAGCCTTCCAAGCCTCCAGCCGCATCGCCGATGCTATCGCCGACTGCTCCCGAGCCTCAGCCCTGGAGCCTCACCGAGCCGACGCGCTCTGGTGCCGAGCCTGCCTCTACCAGTCGGTCGGCTGCTTCCAGGAAGCTTCCCAGGACCTGGAGCGGCTCCTTTCGTTTTATCAGGAGCTGCTGGCGTCAGCAGGAGGAGGCAGGGACCTGTGGTTACGGTTACAGATCAGCTGCGGATTCTGTGCTGCTTGCTTCTTTGACGAGGCTGTGAGCGGGTCAGCAAGGGCAGGGGCAGGGGGGGCGCCGGGGGCAGGGGCCGGGGTAGGGGCGCGGAGTGCAGGGGAAGCAGGGGAGCAGGTGGGGGCGGGGGTGGGGAAGAAGGGGGTGACCGGGAGGTGTACGCTGTGTGGGAGAGTTCGGTCTGCTAGGCTAGGCGCTGGTGACACAGGGCTGGTTGCAGCTTTGGAGCTCGGGCTTGGAGGAGAGAAGCGCAAGTTTGTCGGGCGGCAGAGGGGCCTTAGGCGGTGGTTTGCCAATGCGGTTGTGCACGTTGGGAGGTGGTTGGTGGTGGTGGGGAGGGTGTTGGGAGTGGTGGCGCAGGAGGAGGAGGATGAGGCGGGGTGGTGGCGAGAGCAGACGAACATGGAAGTTGCGGAGAAGCATCTTACGTGGGAGCACGTGCGGCGGGTGAAGGCAAAACTAGAGAAAGTGCGGGCAGAGGGGGCAGCAGCTGAATCAGCAGCAGCAGCGGCGGCGGCGGCGGCAGCAGCAGGGGCGGATGGTCATGGAATGGGAGCGGTGGGGAAGGGAGGTGAGGGGAGGGAGGGAGGGAGTGACGGGAGGGATGTGAGGGATGTGGCAGTTAGTCAGCGCAGACTGATGGATCATGCTCGCATCTTAGGCCTCTCCACCTCCACTGCTGCGTCTATAGGCGCTCTCTCCTCCTCCCTCGCCCGCTCTCTCTCCCTCACAGGAGGAGCAGCAGCAGCAGGAGGAGGTGAGGGTGCTGGTGGGGGGTTGGGTAGTGCCCCGTCCTCTCTACCTCAATCCCCCAGCTATTCCCAGCAGCAGGAGCAGAGGGAGCAGCAGCGGGAGCAGCAGCGGGAGCAGAGGGAGCAGCAGAGGGAGGCGTTGCGGGAAGGGCTAGCAGCGTCCCTAGCTCTAGCTGCCTACCGCATTGCTCTCATCCGCAACTCAGAGGCGCGCGCCCTCACGTTCGTTGAGAAGTGCGCTATCAGGGACGGGCGGAGCTCTGAAGAGGTGAAAGACGAGGTGATGCATGAGTGGGCGAGGCTAGATGGCGTGTTACAGGAGGCTTATGCCCAGCTGATACAGGCCACGGGAGGGAACAAGGACTCTGCTGCTGCTGCCGCTGCTGCTCTGCAGGTTCATGACTTGGATGACTTGGATGGAGACGATGGGGAAGGGGAGGGGGATGGGGATGGGGATGAGGATGGGGGAGCGGAGTGGGGGGAAGGGGAGGGGGAAGGGGAGGGGGGGGATGCGGAGGGGCGGATGCGGCGACGGGGGGAGAGAAGGAAGCTGTTTGGAAGGAGGCTTCCTGGTACGCCTAGTTTTAATCTGAGGAGAGGTGGGGATGAGATGGACGTTGGGCGGATGCTGAGGGGGAAGTCAAAGGTGTGGGAGAGGGGGTCGGGGAAGAGAGGAGGAAGGGAGGAGATGGAGGGGAAAGGGGAGGGCGGAGATTGGTGGAGGAAAGGAAGGAGGGATAAGAAGATGAGGGATGAGCGGGGGTGGAGGGAGAGGGAGGAGAGGAGGGAGCGGGAGCAGGATTCGATGGGTATGAGTCCGAAGCTGCACTCGTTTCGGATGGAGAGATGGGTGGAGGAAGGGGCATCGATGGATGGAATGCGGTTGGATTCGTTTGACTTCGGTGTGGTTGGGGATGTGTTTGGGGGACTGGGCAGTAGGATGAAGATATGGAAGAAAAAGGAGGGGGTGCGGACGGGTGGTGGGAAGGAGAAGGAAGGGAGGGAGGAGGAGAAGGAGGAGAAGGGGGAGAAGGGGAGGGAGAAGGAGAGGGAGAAGGAGAAGGAGCGAAGAAGGAGGAAGAAGTTGGGTGTGGGAGATTTGCTTGGTGAGGAGGAGGATGATGAGGTGGAGCAACGGTCCAGATTTGGTTTCGGGGTGCTGGCGTGGGAAAGAGAGAAGGATAAGGAGAGGGAGCGGGAGAAGGAGAGAGAGCGGATGGAGCGAGAGCGGGAGAAAGCAGAGAGGGAGAGGGAGAAGGAGAAGGAGCGGGCAGAGAGGGAGCGAGAGAAGGAGCGGGAGAGGGCTGAGAGAGAGAAGGAGAAGGCAGAGAGGGAAAGGGAGAGGCAGGAACGGAAGGAGAGGGAGCGGGAGGAGAGGGAGGAGCGGCGGGAACGCGAGCGGGCTGTGAAGAAAGAGAAGGAGAGAGAGCGGCGAGAGAGGAGGGAGAGGAGGAAGAAGCTGCAAGGATCAGCGGAAGACATACCAGGGGAATTCAAGGAGGACGTGGAAGGGAAGGAGAGAGCGAGAGAGAGGGAAGAAGGCCGTCCGGATACAGCAGGGGCTGTCGTGCAGAGAGCAGGGGAAGCGGGCGGTGAGCGAGAGATTAGGGTTAGGGGCAGGGTGGCGAGTATGGGGAGGGAGAGTGATAGTGAGGGTGAGTATGAGCGGGAGCAGTGGCACCCTGGCGGAGGTGATTCTAACGAAGGGGCTGATTCGTTTGTGGATCGGTTGGTGGTGCATGAAGGGGGGAAAATGGGGGGAGAGAGTGACACGGAGTGGGGGAAAATGCGGGAGTGGGGGAGGATGCGGAAGTGGGGGCGGAAGAGGAGGGGAGGGGGAGCAGGAGGGGGGAGGAGGGAGAGTGATAGTGAGAGTGACGCAGAGAGTGATAGGAGGTTCAGGGGAGGGAGTGGGGAGTGGCTTAGAGGGACAGCCAGTGCAGGTGTGGGAGGGGGAGGTGTGGGAGGAGGGAGTGAGAGTGATAGTGATCGTGAAGGGGCGAGTGAGAGTGAGAGGATAAATGAGCTGATTATGGGGGAGGGGCCGCTTGGAGGGGGGTTGACAGGGGAGGGCCAGTTGGGGGGGCTGCCAGGAGTGGGAGCGGCAGGAGGAGAAGCAGGAGCAAGCGGAGCAGGAGGGGCAGCAGGAGCAGCATTAGCAGGAGGAGCAGCTGACGTGGCAGGTGGTCCGGGCTCATTCCCCTCCTTCCCTTCTCTCTCAGACACGCTGACGTCGACAGGACAGAGTGAGGAAGCTTCCTTTGCAACTTCTGAATCGTCAAGTCTCGGGGGTGTGGAGGAGGAAGGGGAGGGAGAGCAGGCGGAGTTTCTGTTGGGAGGTGAGATGGGGGAGAGAGGAAGGCCAGACAAGGGAAGGGCAGAGAGGGTGGGAGAAGCAGGAGGGGATCAGGAACAGCAGGGGATGGAGCATTCGGCAGCTGCGGCTGCAGGGGCAGGAGGGGGTGGTGTGGGCCGTGCAGCTTCATTCTCATTCTACAACCAGGTCCCAATCACACCAGGCGATTCCACCACTCCAGCTGCTGCCGCTGCCGTTGCCACAGCAGCTGCCACAGCTGCCGCTGCTGCGGCTACTGGATCTTCCATAGGTCACGCTACCCCTGCCTTGTCCCATTCCTCCTCTTCTTCCTCCTCCCCGTTAACCTCTCTTTCCACTCTTCCGTCTGCTGGTACTCCCTCCTCTTCCACCTACACTCCTTCTGGCCCTTCTTCTGCTGCTCCCACCACTCTAGAACGGCTGCTGATTGGTAAGCCTTCGACTCCACCTTCCCGCACGCTTTCGTCCTCCATTCCGTCCTCTGTATTGGCTGCTTCGTTATCAGGCAGCCCGATGGGAGGGAAGAAGGAGAAAGAGGAAGGGTTCACGCCTAAGTGGGGTCCGTCCTCCTGGGCACGTGGGGGGCGGGAGAAGGATAAGGAGAGGGATAGGGAGAAGGGCGGCAGGGAGAAGGTGAAGGAGAAAGATAGGGAGAAGGGAGGGAGAGAGAAGGAGAGGGAGAGAGGCGAGGAGAAGGGAGGGCGGGCGTGGGAGAGGGGGAGGGATGGGAGTGTGGGGAGGGAACGTGGAGGGGAGGAAGGAGGGGGGGAGGAGAAGAGGGAGCATAAGGAGAGGGAGAGAGGAGGAGGAGAAGGGTTACAAAGGCAAGATAGCCAAGAGGCAGACACTGGTAGTGAAACTGGTGCTGGTGGTGCCTCCTTTGCTGCCATTTCTGATGGTGCTGCCAGTGTTGGTGGTGCTGCCGGTGTTGCAGCTGGAGGTGGTGGTGGTGCTGCTGCTGCTGCTGCTGCTGCTGCTGCCGCTGCAGCAGCATCGTCCTTCACTGATGATGCGCCAATTCCATCCAAGCCACGATCCCGTTCGGCGATGGAGGAAGAATCGAAGCATAAAGGCGCCGCAGCTGCAGCAGCAGCAGGAGGAGGAGGAGAAGGAGCAGGAGGAGAAGGGGGAACAGGAGAAACGGGAGGAACCATGAGGCGCAGTAAGAGTGCTAAGGGAGTTGGTCCTGGTGGTGCTAGTGGTGGTAGTGGTAGTAGTGGAGGGTCGGCTGGTGGAGGGGGGGGTAGTTCCAGTGCGGGTGGGAGTGGGGGAGGTGGTATTGGGAGCAGTTTCTTTGAAGCTGCACAGAAGGGCGCGGGTGCGGGAATAGGGCTGGGTGTGGGAGCTTTGCAGTCTGTAGGAGCGCTCAAGTTTCGACGGAAAGTGGATGAGAAAGGGGAGGGGAGAGCAGGGGAGGAAGGCGGGAGAGAGGGAGGAGAGGGTGGGAGGGAGGGGCGAGAAGGGAAGGGTAGGCGAGAAGGGAAGGAGGCGAGGGGTCAGAAGGAAGTGGGCGAGGGGATGGAAGGGGAGGAGGAGGAGGAGAAGAGGAAGAGTGAGAAGAAGGGCGAGAAGAAGAGACATGGGAATGTGTTCAAGATAGGGGGGTTACTGGGAGGAGGAGGGAGTGGGGGGGGTAGCAGCCTTGGTAGTGGCAATACGGGTAACAGCAACAACAGCAACAGCACTGGCAGTGCTGGTGACGTGGCTACAGTCTCCCCAACAGCTGCCACCTCAGCGTCTGTCTTTGCCATGTCAGCGCAGACATCTGCCTCTTGGGAAGGTTCCGGGCAGGAACCGGGCGTTCTTAGCCCCCACGAAGCTCCTCTTGCTGCCACGTCAGCAGCATTCGCAGCAACAGCAGCAGCAGCAGCAGCAGCAGCAGCAGCAGCACCAGCAGCGGGGGGTGCACATATGCAATCAGGCGAGTCAACTGGGCTAGGAGCAGCAGCAGTACCCCTCCTCTTAGCCGAGCCCGGGGCAGGCTTGACTGGGGAGGGCTTTACTGTAGGTGCAGTAACCAATCCCGAAATCACTCTAAAGCCAGGATTGTTGGCATTGGCGACAGGGGCAGGGAGGGGAGGGCTCGGGGCCGGGCTTTTACACGAGCAAGGGGGAAGGGTTAAAGAGCGGGAACGGGATAGTAGTCCTCCCAGGCCCAGCCCCCACAGAGGAAATATCTTCTCAGTGCCTGGGATTAGACTGAGAAAGGACCCGAATAGAGAGAGGGACAAGGAGAGGGAGAGTGGGGGTAAGGGGGAGGGTGGTCGGGAGGGGGGTAAGGAGGGCGGGGAACGGGACAGGCCTCTTGTTACCGCAGCTATGAATCTGGTTCGGATGGAAGGTTTGGGAAGGAAGGGGCCGAGCAAGTCAGGGCCGATACTGCTGGGCTCGTATGGGTCGTCTGCAGCAGCTGTAGCAGCCGTAGCACCGGCTGTAGCGCTAGCATCAGCACCTGCGCTGGAACCTGCAGGGTCGGTTTCGTCTCCCCATGCCGCAGCAGGAGCAGCAGGAGTAGCAGGAGCCCCAGGTAGCTCAAGCCTGGAGGACAGCTCAAGTGAAGGCAATAGGCTGGGCGGTGATTCTTCTGCTGCTGGTGCTGCGGATGGTGCTGGTGTGGTTCGTGTTGCTGCTACTGTTACTGCTGCTGCTGCTGCTGCTGCTGGTGCTGCTGCTGGTGCTAGTGGTGGGGTTGATCACCTGACCATTCGAACTGGTAGCGGAAAGTTACAGCCTGTTCTTCGAGCCATGGCTGCTGCTGGTGCTGGTCCTGCTAGTGCTGGTGCTGCTGCTGGTGCTGCGACCATTGCAGGTGGGAGCGCTGAGGATATGCATGATTCCGCTGTTGCTGCTGCTGTAGCAGGGGGGAGACAAGCAGCAGGAGGCACAACAGAAGCATCTCCAGGGGAAAATGCACCGCTCCCCACCGCTCCGCACACCCTGCGGGCGAGCAGAAGCAGCAGCTTCGGCAGCTATCACCACAGCAACAGCAGCGGCCGCAGTGCCAGCTTAGGCAGCAGCGCCAGCTTCAGAAACGCCATGTTTGGTGGCCCAACTTCCGCAGGAGCAGCAGCAGGAGGAGCAGGAGGAGGAGGAGGGGGAGGAGGAGGGGGAGGAGAGTGGGTGGGTGTGGGGGGCGGAGTGGGAACAGTGGCATCTTCATCTGGAGGGGGGCTAGAACAGACAAGCGATCCTACACTTTGGCTACCTGTGCCGCCCCACACTGACCATTTTGGTACCGTTTCTGCCACTGGTACTCCAGGTGCTTCGCCAGGTGGATTCTCAGGTGAATTCAACGCGATCGTGTCTCCGACCACGCCACCTGAGCCACACTTCAGCCACCCCCACTCCCTCACTCCCCCACTTCCGGAAGTAGAGGAGGGGGATGAGGAGGGGGCAATAGGCGGGGAGGGAGAGGAGGGGGAGGAGTGTGGGGAGGGCGAAGGGGGGGAGGCGGCAACACCGAGTGCAGTGGAAGGGAGGGGCGCCAAGAAAATGGTGGCTCAGGCTGTGTTGGGAGGGCTCAAGAAGGGGCTGAGAACAGGGTCTCAGCTGGGGAAGAAAATCGCTGCTGCCACTATGAGCCCCCAGAGGTGAGTTTAGGGTCAACTCAATTAAATGGGGTGCACAGAAGAAGATGATATAGCTCAGCCTCTCAGGCGTTGTTGGGGAGCCTCAAGAAGGGGTTGAACACAAAAGGTGGGAGGGGCTCGAGTCCAGAAGGGTCTGAGGACGGGGTTTCAGCTGGGAAAGAAGCTCGCTGCTGCCACTATGAGAAGTCAGAGGTGAGTTCTGAGTCAAACCCTAAATGAAATCGCTGGCGCATGGTGGCACATGCTGTGTGGGGAGGGAGGGCTCAAGAAAGGGCTGACGACAGGGTCTCAGTTGGGAAAGAAGCTTGCTGCTGCCACTATGAGCCCTCAGAGGTGAGGGCAGTGGGTGTGCATGCTCACGTGCATGCGGGTGCGTGTATGATGTGTGTGTGTGTTGGCTCTGGGATGTAAGGTGTTTGTTCTGTGAGAGGGCTCAAGAAGGGGTTGAGGACGAGGTCACAGCTGGGAAAGAAGCTTGCTGCTGCCACCATGAGAAGTCAGAGGTGAGTTGACTTGATGAACAGCAAAATTGCCGTGTGAAAGAAAGTCTGTTTTGCAGTACCTGAAATCATGTTCACCTCCTTGCCTCCCAACCCCTCAGGGCTCTCGCGACAGCCATCACCAAGGAGGTAGACCTGATGAACGCCAAGAGCGCAGCCACCATTCGCAGCAGAGCTGGCTCCTCTATATCCACCCCCCTCACATCCCCTTTCTCCTCCCCTTTTTCCTCATATTCCCCTTCCCTCGCAACCCTACAGGGCCCTCGCGACAGCCATCACCAAGGAGGTAGACCTGATGAACACCAAGTTTGCCGCCACCATCCGCAGCAGAGCAGGCTCGTCCATTGCCCCCACCGCCCCCACTGCCCCCACCCCCACCACCACCGCTGGTCTCCCCAGCAGCACTCTTGGCAGCAGCAGCAGTTTCAGCAGCAGCACTGGCAGCAGTAGTATCGCTCCTAGTGCTGCTATGCTCACGGGCAGCAACAGCAACGGTGGCAGCAACGCTGCTAACGAGGCTTCTTCTGCAGCAGCTGCTGCTGCATTCTCTGCTGCTGGCAATGGCAGCGGTAGCGGTGGTAGTGGTATGATCGGTGATAGCAGTGGAGCTGGTTCTGCATTCTCAGGTGCTGCATTTTCAGGCCCACTCTCAGCGCCTTCCTTCCATCCGCCTCTTTCCCTGCCCTCCCCTGCTCCTGCCCCACCCTCTCCTGACTCCTCTCTGGCTGAGGCTCTGGCAGCAGCAGAGGCAGCAGCTGCAGCGTTTGAAGCAGCAGGTGCAGCAGCAGCGGGAGATGGGGCGGCAGGATTGGCAACAGGGATGGGGCCAGGGGTGGGAGCAGGGATGGGAGCAGGGATGGGAGCAGGGATGGGAGCAGGGATGGGAGCAGGAGAAGCAGCAGGGTTCAAGAGGGGTGTGGATGGTGGTGGAAACGGTTCCAGCAGCACAGGCGGCACTCATGTTGGCAGTGGGGATGCGAGCACCAGTGCAGCTGCAGCAGCAGACAGCAGGGACAGAGGCAGGGCCAGCAGACGCAGCGGTGGCAGTGGTGGAAGCGGGGGCAGCGGGGGCAGTGTGGGCAGTGGGAGCAGCGTTCTTGGCAGAAGCAACAGCGTTGATGGTGCTGCTGGCGGTGCTGCTGGTGGTGTTGCTGCTGCTGGTGCTGCTGCTGGCAGCGGTGCTGGCGGTGCTGCTGCAGCTGTTGTTGCTGCTGCAATGAAGCGATCCCTGTCAGGTGAAGATAGCAGGGACGGAGGAGGAATCTAACCCGCTGCTGCTGGCTGGTGCTGGAAGTGCTGGTGGTGCCGCTGCTGTTTCTGCTGTTGTCAGGTGAGGATAGCAGGGATGGAGGAGGAATCTAACCTGCTGCTGCTGGCAGCGGTGCTGGAAGTGGGAGGCTTCTAACCTGCTCCAGATGTGAGTCTTGGAATCAAATCAAACTCAAGCGTTAAAACGGTGAAGCCAATGAAGCTGGTGGTGATTCTCGGCTCGAGCAAGCTGCCAAATTCATCTCTCCAAAAGTACTACTACTGCTTTGTATCATATTCCTTGCAATGTTTCTTTAGTATTTCTAGGACCTGATTTTCTTCACTAGCATTAGAACATTAGGTCTATGTTACCAGTAAATGCTACTTGTCAAAAGGGAAAACTACAGTGTGCATCTCTTACAGGGTCAATCACCCTTATCATATACAGTGCACTATAGAACTAATATGTCGTATAGTGTGTTCATTGATTACCAGTGGTACATTTTCCCATTGCACCATTCTCTCTTCAATACAGACATTGCTGTGATATCTCTAACCCATAATATCAGTCAGCATTCCCTCCGAGGAACTAAGAGCGTGTTCCTATCCTCGTATCAAGATAACCTCGTATCAGGCTCACACTGAAAATTCCCCTAAACCCAAAACCTCTCGCTAGTTTTACCAGGCAAAAACAGCATTCTTGATACGAGGTTTCCTGATATGAGGCCGTAGGAACACGCTCTAAAATGGCTATCCAAAACTGAAACTCTCCTCTCCTACCATTCATTCACCTCACACACCACCCCACCACACTGCACCCCACCCCACCACACAGCGCAGCACCCCGCCCCATTGCACCAGACCTCATCCCACCACTCCCTCTTTTCTCTCACCCCCCCCACACCAGCCACCTGCCTTTCTCAAACAGCCCTGTCCCCGCCAAGCCAACCTCCCTCCAGACAGCTGCCACTTCAGCTTCTTCAGCGTGAAAACCCGATCAGCGTTTGAGGCCTCTCAAAAGACTTCTCTCTCACCCCCCCTGTACCAGCCACCTGCCTTTTTCAAACAGCCCTGTCCCCGCCAACCTACCTCCAGACGGCTGCCATTTCAGCTCCTTCAACGTGAAAATCCGATCCGCAAACTCCCCGCCCATCTCCTCATCCCTCACCCCCCCACAGTCCCCCACCACAAGCTGCCTCAACCCCGGCAGCGCCAGCACCACCGCTTCTAGCGACTTCATCGTGATCAACGGACACCCTTCGATCGCCAGCCGGCCGATCCGACGGTTCGTGGCGACCGAGATCCCGGCGAGGGAGGCGTCGTCCAAACCGCAGCAGTTGCGAAGGTGCAGAGCGGTGGAATTGGCGCAGACTGCGAGAAGCGCAAGGAAGAACGGGCGTGAGCGCAGGTCGCAGTGAATAAGCTGTAGAGTTTCCACTGGGGAAAGAAACCCTGGGGGGGGCTGGGGAGGTCTGGGGCTCGCTTTGACGCGACTGGGTGTGGCAGGAGTGCTGGTGCTGCCGGAACCGGTTTTGATGGTTTTAGAGCGGTGGACTGCGGCTTTGACGGTGGCTAGAAAGCGACGGGAGGGGGGGAGAGAGATGTCAGACATCTCCCTTTCCAAACGCTTCACAGTCAAATCCGCACCCTCCTTGTCCTCCTCCTCACCCCCCTCACCCCCCTCTCCCTCCCCTTCCTCCTCTTGCTCCTCTCCTTCTGCCCCTTCTTCCCCTTCTCCCCCTTCTTCCCCTCCTCCTTCCTCCCCCTCCGCTTTCCCCTCTTCTTCCTCCTCCTCTCCCTCCTCATCCTTTCCCTCTCCTTCTTCTTCCTCCTGCCCGTTCTGCTGCCCGCCCGCTCCCACCTCCTGCCGCACCCCCCCCGCCCACCCAACTGCTGCTGCACACTCGTCGGGCTCTGATTGGTGGAAATTTTCGAGCCTGAGCGTCTGCAGGTTCGGACAGAAGCAGAGCGCGCCGAGCCAATCCGGGCGAAAATATCTCCCGGAAAGAGTCAGATCTGATAGCATCGGGCATTCCCTGGCCACTACAAACAAACCAGCCCGCCCAACTTCGCAACCCTTTAGCGACAGCTCCACTATTCGCTTGCATCCCCTTGCAAGGGTTCGTAGCCCGCGGTCAGAGAAAGTAGCGTGATAAAATCCAGGAACTGCCCCAACTAATCTCACCACCTGCAGGTTTTTACACCCAGAAACTGCTTGTAACGAATCATCTGTACACTGCCGAAGCTCCAATTCCTGTAGAATGCTACACCCTTCCGCAATAATATCTAGGCCTTCGGTATCGCGGTCAGTATAATCGTCGTCATAACGAGCCCTAGCTGCAATTATGTTATCTAAAATCACTGTACCGTTCCTCTGCGCGCGTGCTCCGTTAAAGTCAGCTCCGTTAGAGTCACCAGCTGGTTCTGCCCGATAGTGTGAGTGGCCCAAAAACCCTGACGCGTCTTTATCCGCGTTATACGATCCCTTCTTTGCGCGGAAAACGTCGACCAAACATAGCCGCTGTAGATTAGGGTAACTCTGAACTAACTCCCGCAATCCACGGTCGAAACTGTCAGGAGACGGGCTCTGCTCCTCTAACCTGTGGTCCGGTTCGAACGGATTAACTACATCAGGGTCGAGCCGCATCGTGCACGTGCCACGTGTCATGTACACGGCTGCCGAACCGAACACCTCAGGGTCGGAAGAGTTGCACCAGGCTGGGGAAAGGTCAAGCTCGGTCAGGTTCGGAAAACGTTCCGCCAAGCGGCCCGACTCGAGCATGGACCAATCGTAGAGCTTGAGAGAAGTTTTTATCTGCCCGTGAAGGCGGAGCCATCGGCGGGACATGAGCGAGCAGGATTTGAGATCGGACGAGGTGGTAACCAGACGTAGCAGGCGAAGGATTACCTCGTCACTGGGTTGCGAAGAGGCAGACGATCCAGCCGAAGAAGACCATAACGAGGATGACCAAGACGAGGCCATATTCAGCAAAACGCTATTTTTCTCTTGCCACCTAGTCTTTGACTCGTCAATCGGCGGAACGCGACCAGGACGAGGCCATAATCTGCAAAACGCTATTTCTCGCCAAGTATCGACTACTCGACAATCGGCGAAGCGCAGTAACGAAAATGACCACGACGAGCCGGCATGGCGAGTAATGCTGATGTGAAATCTCTTTCTGGAAATGGCTGGACAGAAATGTTGGTGACCGCTACCTCCTCTGCAGAATTCCGAAAAGTGCTTCAAAAGCAAAAGCTTTTTGTACACAAGACTTCCAGCGTGGATAGATATTCCAAGTTCCAACTTTGTAAGGATTTACAAAATCCTTAATGAGGCACTCGTTAGCGAGGCCCTCCCGAGGGTCACACAACGAACCTGTTCTTCCTATTTCATGGCACCGAACCACTCCCGAGTCGCCTCTGCACTGTTGGGCTGAGAAGGCCCTTAAGGATCTTTGCAGAGGATAACTCTGGGTAGGAAACTTGTAATAGCGGAAGCGTTTAATGAAACTTGTGAACCGACCTTGCACTAGTGTGTGAGAGCAAAGTAGATTAAATTAAACAAGCAAATACAAGGTCTTATATAAGGGTACAGGGAATACGTTGCGACTGTATTGCTGTTGCGATTCGATACAATGCGACTCGGGCAACTGCTCTGTAACGAGTCAGTTGTGTGTCCTTAACTGTCGCGCTGTAATTGTCGAGTCAAAGGTCGCTGACCTTTGACTTTCTCGTAACCTCCAGGCGGTTACCCTAACCTCCGAGGTTTGACTCGATGTTTCGATTCGGACTGCTTCGCTCGTGTCTTGGGTTTTGACACGACAGAAGCGCACTAAGACTTATTGTTTCCAACACTCCCCTTCGCTTCTGGAGTGTCGCCGCAGGTGACGTGGCCTTGTCCAGTCAGCATCATGCAGTATTCGAACTTCTGCTTTCCGAGCTTCTTGGTCAAGTAATCGGCTGCCATCTCAGATGTTGGACAGTATAACAGATCGAGTTTCCCCTTTTCGATCTCGTCCTTCACGAAGAAATAGCGCAGGGCGATGTGTTTCGTCCTGTTTGCGAAGCCATTCTTGTTGGCGATGCGAATTGCTGACTGGTTGTCGCAGAACACGGTGAAGCTGGGTAACTCGGCTAACTTTGCTTCTTCCAGTAGTTCGCGAAGGTTAAGTCCCTCCTTGGTGGCTGAGCAGAGTGCAATATATTCCGCTTCAGCTGAAGACAGTGCGATTAACTCCTGCTTACTCGACTGCCAGGAGATAGGACCGATAGGTTCGAGGCGGTAGACATAGCCGGTGCGTGAGCGTCTGTTATCGGTGTCGCCGGCGTGATCGGCGTCGACGTAGCCGATTAGCTTGGTCGGTGTAGTTGCGTTTTTGTGATAGGTTAATCCAATCGTCGCGGTGCTGACGAAATAGTGGAGAGCGCGATCGAGTTCCGCCAGATGCTCTGCTTCAGGCTTCTTGAGATAGGTGGCGAGCTGGCTCACGGAGTAGGATAAGTCGGGACGGCATGTGACTGCTGCGAAGAGAAGACATCCGAGCTTCTTCTGATAGTCGCGTATGCCGGCGGGCTTGAGTAGAGTAGATCGTCCCTTTTCGGTTCCTGACGTGTAGCGGTAAGGCGTGGAGATGGCGCTTGGTGTGAGGCCGAAGCGTTTCGCGATGGTGTCGGCGTACTTCTCGGCGCTTAGATAGATTGCATTTTCTTCCTCGCGGATGTTGAGCCCGAGGTACTGCGTAACCGTAGAAGAGACCGTGAGTGTGAGGTCTTTCTGAAGCTCCCCTTCGAACCACGTGGCGATGCCGTCGGTTGACCCAATGTAGAGGAGATCGTCCACGTAGACGATTAGGAGAACGTAGTCGCTTCCCTTTGTGAGGCGATACATGCCCTGGTCATGCGGGAGTTGTTTGAAACCGATGCGGATGAGGCGGGCGTGTAGGTACTGCTGCCACAGTCGCGGTGCCTACTTGATCCCGTAGAGCGATTTAAGTAGTTGACAGACTCGGTTGGGTTCGCCGTGGGAGCCATGCGGGAGCTCGACGAATATTTCTGCATCTACAGGTGCGTAGAGAAATGCGTTTGCGACGTCGATTTGTCGCAATTTCTTTTTCTTCATGGCGGCGACGGCGATGAGGATTCGGAGTGAGGTGTGACGGCTGACCGGAGCGAAGGTTTCGGTGTAATCTCTTCCGTGCTCCTGGTCAAAGCCGCGTACGACCCATCGAGCTTTGAATTTGTCGATGGTGCCGTCGGCTTTCGTCTTCACACGGAAGACCCATTTTCCGGTAAGGATAGTCTTGTTTTGTGCTACGCTGATGGGAACGATTTTCCAGGTGTTGCGCTCCTCCAGTGCCTTAAGTTCTTTGTCCATGGCTTCACGCCATTTCTCCCTGTGTTCCCCCCCCAGAGCCTGCTGAACCATCGCAGGCTCCTTAGGAATGGTGGCGCCATGGACTGCGGTGACGAGACCAAGGATTTGCAGCCCAGTCTGTGAGTATCGAGGGAGTTCTGGATCCTCGGGATAAGCTGCTTCGTCTCCCGCTTCTGGGTCGGGTATGAAATTCGGCCCTACCCTTTCTGCTTCGTTGGTGTTGACTGTCGCAGGTGTTACGTAATCATTGTCGGCGAAATGGTAGAAGACTTCGGCGTTGTTACTGTCGCGAGGGTTATCCTCATCCATGGGCACGTTGACGGAGCAGTACGGAAGAGGTCCGGCTTCCTCCGATGCGTTGTCGACGTTCTGCTCATCCCAGTCTGCTTCATCCGCTGCTGACGCGAAGGCTCGGTCACCACGAAAACCACTAGTGAGGTCCCGATTCTCGTGCAAGTTGGCGAGGTACGTCTGAAGGGTTAGGCGTTCGTAGAAGATCACATCTCGTGCTGCTACTGTTTCTTTTGTGTGGGCGTCGAAGATTCTCCACGCGTTGTAATTTTTCTCGATGCCGAGGTGTAGTCCCCACTGTGCTCGTTGCGAAAATCTTCCCGCTCGTGCTTCTGGGGGTCTGTACTGTACCATGCACCCGAAGACTCGTAACATTTTTGTGCTGCCCTGCTTCCCTGTCCACAGTAGATGCGGTGATGTGTTGTTCGGGAGTGACGACGACGACAACAAGTTGTGCAGCATGACAGCATGGTCCATTGCTGCTGGCCACTGGTGGTTGGGTAGCCGCATGCCACGTAACAGTTTGCGCATGCTGTTCTGCAGAGTCCTGTTCATTCGTTCTGCGACACCTTGCTGCTGATGTGCGTAGGGAAGGGAGAGAAGTTGCTTGATCCCCCTTTCCGCCAGGAACTACTTGAAGCGCTGAGAGGTGTACTCGCCACCTCCGTCTGACTGGAAGCTTTTCAGTTGCGTTCCAGACTCTCTCTCTGCTATCGGTAGCCAGGCGGCGAATGCTGCGAGTGCCATGTCGCGGCTGGGTAGGTTACGATGCCAGACATATCGAGTGGCGGCGTCGATGAAGGTGATGGTGTAGTTGTAGTTAACTTGTCCTGGTTCGCGATTGTAGAGGATGTCGCTGTAGACCTTTTCGAGTGGTGCGTACGCTGGAGCGCTCGGGTTGTGATGTGGAGCGAACGGTCGATGAGGTAAGTCAGCTTCGGGACATATAAGGCAAGTCCCTCGTGCCTTTTGGAGTTCTCTGCCATCGGGTAGAAGTAGGGAGTCTTTGTCAAGAACTCCTGCTCTTATCGTGTTATTTAAAACCGTGTTGCTTGGATGTCCTGTGTGTGCGTGCCAGATCTCTTCAGAGGCGCGGTGTCCGGGTGAACGTTGGTATGCGTCGGAGTTGGAGTAAAAACTGGCGACGAAGTTGGCGCTTCGGTGGACTTCACGTTGAGTCGGATTCAGCTGTTGCGCGGGTGTTGGTGGTGCTTCGTCGACTGTGACCGGTGTCGTTGTTCCTGCTGCTGCTGATGTTGTCTCTGCTGCCGATGTTGCTGCTGCTGCCGATGTTGTCTCTGCTTCTGATGTTTGTTGAATCGTCGCTAACGCTCTTGTTCGTTCTGCTTCAGGGATAGTGTGGGAGTACCAGAAACCTCCCGGGCTGAAGTCGGGGTCGAGATCAGGAGGGTGTGTCCAATCAGTAAAATTCACGATGGCGTCGCTGTCTGCAGTGCCCAGGTCAGGAACGAAGTCGAGGACGAAGACGTTGTTCTTCAGCACTGCCTTCCCGATGTAGAGACCGCCTCTCCCGTGGTATAGCTTGAACTCCTGGGTGGTGCTGTCGGCTTCCAGGTGAATCCCCTTCGCCATCAGCTGGCTAACACTCAGTAAGTTGTAACCGAGTCCTTCAGCAATGAGTACCTTAGACATGTGCAGTATGACATTTGTTTCTCTTGACTGAAGCTGTACCACTCCTTGTCGTCGTGTGCGCAGGTTTTGATTGTTGGCGACCGTGATGATCACTTCTCGTTGGAGACGATGTTCGCGTTGTACGAAGCGCCCGGACGAGCACATGTGTTGCCCGCAGCAAGTGTCCAAGAACCAAGTGTCTTGGCCGGACGGTTCACTTTGAGCGATGGCGGCGTAAGTCGGATTCGGGTGGAGTGATTCGCGGCGAGGCGTCCTGTTGTCGAGCTCCTCTTCTGGTGAGTAATGGGGTGGTGACTCTGTTGTGCAAGAGTCGTTTATCTTTACCATGCAGTTGACTATGTTTCTTGCTCCTTGTGCAGGTTGTCCAATTGAAGTCGTTGAAGCTTGAATCGTTGTTGTCGGACTTGCTTGCGTTGAAGCAACTTGTGAGCTTGAAGGCCGCAGTTGTCGCTGTGGTGTTGTCTGACGAGACGGGCAATGCGTGCGGGGGTGTCCTGATGTTTTGCAGATGTGACAAAACGGAGGTACTAACTTAGGCTGCTGCTGTCGGTTGTTGTAGTTGTTGTGTCGTCGCTGAGTGTGGAAAGCGAACTCCGGTGCTAATGCCCTTTTCTTGTGCCTTTCTTCTTGCAGGTCCATATCCTGCTGCTCGGCGTGGATTTCTGCGCAGAGTGCCGCTTCGGAGATCCTCCCGTGTGCTCGAAGAATTGCTTTGGTGGCGCGCCACTGAGGACCGAGGCCACTGATGACGACTGTTACGAAGGCGTCTTCAGAGATTGATCCTCCGCATCGAAGAAGCTTGTCGCGCAATTCGCGACATCGGCTGATATACGCCAACCCCTTTTCTCCTGGTTTCATTTCAACTGTTGTCAACTGCGCCATTAACCTGCTCTGGTTTACACTGTCTGTTGCCTGATACAGGTTCTTCAGATGGCCGTACGCAAGTTCCGCCGAGTTGCCGAAGTTCCGGTAAGAGCGAATGTTCTGCTGCTGGGTTGGTGTGATGTTTCTCAGTAGAATAGTATACACCATCATCGATTGATACGTATACTGCTGCTTCTCATACTGTGTGCCGTTTGCTGGATACTGCAGGGATCCGTCGAAGAAGCCGAGTATCTGCGCGCCCTCCATCATCAGCTCGAATTCAAATGACCAGGTGAAGAAGTCCTTTCCGTCGAAAGGTCTTGACGTTTGTAATTTCAAAACATGCGCGAATTGCGAATGAACTTGTAACGCGTCCATTGGTTTGTCTTGCGCAGGTGAAGGTTGAGGCAGGAAGCTGATCGACCCGCGCTCGTACGGGGCGAAGGTGGGTTGCTGCTGTTGATTCCCTCGCGCATATGACGACCCATCAAGGCTCATGGGTGTCGCTCCGTTGTTGCTGTTGTGTGTCTGTGCAGGTCCCGACTGCTGGTGTTGCTCGTAGAAGGACATGAAGGAGAAGAATTTCTCCATCATGCTCTGGTCGAAGTCAGAAGGGTGATTCGTGGGGGTCTCGGTTGACGTTCCCCTTGGTCTTGCTGCCGTGCCTTTCTCTGTCTGCAGGCCAGAGGCTGGTGGTGGAGTAGGAGTAGGGCCCGAGGAGCCATTAGGGGAGCTCCTTTCCTTGTTTGTTGCCATGTCTTGTAATATAAAAAGTTTAGAGTTTCCCCTGTCTGCTCTGATACCATGTTGGGCTGAGAAGGCCCTTAAGGATCTTTGCAGAGGATAACTCTGGGTAGGAAACTTGTAATAGCGGAAGCGTTTAATGAAACTTGTGAACCGACCTTGCACTAGTGTGTGAGAGCAAAGTAGATTAAATTAAACAAGCAAATACAAGGTCTTATATAAGGGTACAGGGAATACGAATAGATAGATAACTGTATTGCTGTTGCGATTCGATACAGTGCGACTCGGGCAACTGCTCTGTAACGAGTCAGTTGTGTGTCCTTAACTGTCGCGCTGTAATTGTCGAGTCAAAGGTCGCTGACCTTTGACTTTCTCGTAACCTCCAGGCGGTTACCCTAACCTCCGAGGTTTGACTCGATGTTTCGATTCGGACTGCTTCGCTAGTGTCTTGGGTTTTGACACGACAGAAGCGCACTAAGACTTATTGTTTCCAACATGCACTTATCGCAACCATCACCGAGCCATCCTCGCCCAACCTCCCCGCCTAGCTAGGACTTCCCCTACTTAGGCCTCGTCACTTTCATTGTATCGTAATTCCCCGGTGACGGATGCTACAGCTCGCTTCTTTACTGGGGGGGAAAACATGCCAGTAATTGATATGCTTATGGAAAAACAGTTGTAATACATCGGTATTGGCATCTTTCTGGAAAAAGAAGTGGCAACATTAACTTAATGGATACAGAGTAAATTTACATTGCACACAGTACTGGGTGGCACCAGCGCATCATAAAAACAAAGCATCTGCCCTTATTGAGTGCAGCCATGTCTCGGTTAGCGTGGCAGGCCAAGCAATCCGCCAAGCACCGAGTATAGCTGTGTAATACTTCCCTGCTCCTGCAGAGGCTGCTGCTGCTGCTGTTGCTGCTGTTGCTGCTGTAGCTGTTGTTGCAACAGCAGGGGCAGTAACAACAGGAGTAGCTTCTGCGTTAGGAAGTCGGGCTGCTGCTGCTGCTTCTGCTGCTGTTTCTGCTGCTGCCAGTCCTTTTCATGGCAAGCATCCTTATTCAGTGTGTTTGTTCCTGCCATTAACACCATATCTGGTGCTACGGCTGCTATTGCTGGTAATCTTGCTGCCGCTGGTTGAGTCAAACCCCCTCCTCCTCGTTGTCTGGCCACTGCCAGCAGCAGCAATTGAAGCAACTGTGACTCTAACGAGGGTGACTCTACTGCAGACCTCACTGCTGCACTCATGCTTCCGATGCACTGCTGAAGGAAGTTGCCTGGAAGCACCATGTTCCGCTCAGATCCCTGTGGCGACACCGAGCCTTGTGCCAGTACACCAATGCCTGCTTCGGGCCGTACGCGATTGAGGTTTGGCTGCCGAGCCAGCAGTGCTAGCAGGACCGCTGCAGCAGCTTCGGACTCAGGACTCGCAGGCTTGGCCGAGGGTAGAACAGGCTCGGCATGATAGGCCGGGCGAGGAAGTTCGCCCGTGCAAGCCTTAGAACCCGACGAAGCTGCTGCTTCAGCATCCGCAGAAGGAGGTTGGTGGTTCATATCTGCTGCATGCACCACCGAGTGTGAGGAAACTGCAGGCAGCGCACCGTCAACAGCATCCAGACATGTCTTTTGGCGCGACTCGAAATTCATATCTGCTGCATGCACCCCCAAGTGTGAGGAAACTGCAGGCAGGGCACCGTCAGCAACTGCCAGAGGTTCAGGAGTCACAGCAGGCAGGGCACTTCCAGCAGCAACTGATGCATGCACCCCTGAGTGAGTGGAAACCGCTGTCAGTGCACCATCAGCAACAGCTAGAGATTCGGGAGTTGCAGCAAGCAGGGTATTTCCATCGCTTACTGTGGCGGCCCCTACCCCACAACCATCCACGGCCATCCCACCATCGGCTGTGGCCACCCTCCCAGTTGTGAAGGTCCCTTCAGCTACTGCCGCCACTCTGGCTGTAGAAGCCACTCCGGCTGTAGCCTCCGCTCCAGCTGTAGCGGCCTCCCCAGCTGTAGCAGCCACGGCTTCGGCTGTAGCAGGCAGGTCGTCCAGTGTGCCGTAGCTGGCAACCATTCTTTCCCAGAAGTCGTCATCTTCCATGGAGTCAACGCGAGTCAACTGCTCCAGCGAGCACTCTTCCTCCACCTGCTGCTGCTGCTGCTCCTCATGCTCCATGTGAGCCTCCCCAGGTTGTTCCTGCTGGGACCCGAGGCAGCAACCCAGAGGCATCGCGTCCAGATCCATGTCTGCACAAAGTATCACAATCTCAGAACCGCTTGAAACTACATCAGCACCGCCTGTAACCTCCTCAGCAGTGCTTGTAACCACCTTAGCACCGCTTGTAACCGTTTCATCAACACATGTCCTGCTCGCGTCGAGATAGCACCCTTTCAGATCACTTCCCTCCCACAGCCACCCACTTTGCTCGCCCTGCTTGTCACCACCACCGCCTTCACCGCCTTCACCGCCTTCACCACCACCTGCTTCACCACCACCGCCTTCACCACCACCTGCTTCACCACCACCGCCTTCACCACCACCGCCTTCACCACCACCTGCTTCACCACCACCGCCTTCACCACCACCTGCTTCACCACCACCTGCTTCACCACCACCTGCTTCACCACCACCTGCTTCACCACCACCTGCTTCACCACCACCTGCTTCACCAACACCTGCTTCACCACCACCTGCTTCACCACCACCTGCTTCACCACCACCTGCTTCACCACCACCGCCTTCACCACCACCTGCTTCACCACCACCTGCTTCACCACCACCTGCTTCACCTGCTTCACCGCCTTCACCGCCTTCACCCCCTTCATACCCTTCACCCCTTTCAACCCCTTCACCTCCTCCACTTGCTTCACCCCCTTTCGCATCGCCAGCTAGACCCTCTTCCCTCCCTACAGCTTCCCTCCCAGCGTCCTCCCCTTCCGTTTCTTCTTCTCCTCCTACCTTCTTTACTACTTCTTTTCGTTCTTCTCCCCTTCCTATCTCTTCTCCCCTTCCTATCTCTTCTCCCACTTCTACTCCTCCTCCTTCTCCTCCTCCCTCCACCTCCATCGCTTCACTCCCGTTATCTGATATCCCGCTCTCTCGTTCAATCCCCTCCAATTCATCCCTCATCTCCACTCCCCTTACCACCTCCCCCACTTCCATATTCTCCCCATCGGCTCTCACCGCCAGGACAACCTTTTGTTTCTCTCCCTCCCTCCCCAACCCCTCTCCACCCCTCTTCTCTCTCCTCCTCATTTTCTCTTCTTCCTCATCCTCCCCCCTTTCCTTGAGGGGAGGCGGTGGGCGCGAGTCTGCCAGCCACAGCTGAGCTGGCAGACGCAGCAGCTGACATGGCAGGTGCACCACCTGAGGTGGCAGTTTTGCTGCTGCTGCTGCTGTTGCTGCTGCTGCTGATGATTCTGTCTCTCCCTGTGCCGCCATTCCACGTGGCCTTTCTTCGCTCGCCAAATCCGCTCCTCCTGCTCCACTCCAATTCGTACACGTGTCAGCAGACTCGGAACCACAAGCTACGCGTGGCGAGAACGGGACTCTAAATCCCGCTGACGTGGAATCGTTCGCTGACGTGGCAGGCGACTTGGACGAGCGTCTTCGAGTCGCTAGAGACCGCTGTGGAGCACCAGGTGCGGCGGGAATCCCGGGTAAGGATGTAGGAGTAGAAGCAGGCGACGGCGCGCGCGCGAATTCCGCTCGGAATGGGGGAAGCGGAGCGGGGGAGGGCGGAAAAGCGGGTGAACGGGGGGGCGGAGGATGACGTCGGGAAAGCGGGGCGGAGGCAGCAGGAGGGGGCCGTGAAGGATGACCGTGCGCGTATCGCGGAGACACGAGCGCGTTCAGCGCAAGGAGACCCGCGGGCCAGGTTGCGCCAGCGCCAGCGCCAGCGCCGCGGGCAGCAGCGGGGACGGGGGCGGGGGAAGAGGCAGGGTTGCGCGAGCTGGCGGCGGAAGCAGGGTTTGCGGAGGCCCAGTGGTGGGGGACGACGTAGGCGCGTTCCGCGGGGCAAGTTGCGCGCCTCACTAGCTTCGGCTCCTCCGCGGAGCCCACGCTGCGTTCCAGCCCCGCGTCTGCGGCGCTCCGCTTCAAGCGGCACGGGGCGGAGGGGGATGCGGAAGCGGAGGCGGAAGCAGAGGCGGAAGCGGAAGCGGGAGCGGAGGAAGGCGCCGAGAAGGCGGATGCCTCCGCTGATGCGGAGCTACCCGCAAGCCCAGCGCCGGCTGCGCGGATGCGCGAGGCTTGGCGGAGAGTTTCGAGCCACCCGCCCGCGCGGTGGCCCTGACTTTGCGCCACTGGCTTGACTTCCGCCGCCCGATGAAACGCCTCGAGGGCGCGTCCGGTGAAGTGCTGCCGGTGCTGCTGCTGGTCCTGGTGGTGCTGCTGGTGCTGCTGCTGATCCCCGATACAGAAATCTTCATCTTGTTCCGAGAAATTCTCTATAACGAGGCTCAACTGCCGGCGCTTATAGCGAGGCGTGAATGCGTCGGTTACTCTAGCTGGAGTCATTCTCGAAGCGACTGTGTGCGACGGCTGCGACGTCTTGCGATTTCTGCTGTGGCAACGGCAGCAATAAACTTAGCTACTTTGCTATATCAGACCGAAAAGCTGAATGCCCGTGCAAAATCTGAAATGAAATTCACATTACACGCGGGCTTAGCTGCCCTGATGTTTGAGTTTGAATCAGATCTCAGAGTACACACGGGTTCACTCGCTCCGCGCAACTCGCGACGGAGATGAACGATGCGCAGAAAATGAACGATGAACGATGGCAATACTACATATGTCTACACGAACTTCTATTGATAAGTGCGAGAGTCGAATGGACGAGAACGGTCGGCAAGGGGAAGGAAGACTGAGGGCTCAGGGCAGTACTGTCTATGCACTACAGTTGATTTAGGAAAGGAAAATAGCTATGTTAGGAGATATATACAGCTATTTTGAGATATCACTGTCGCCAATAGCCGTGCTGTGATTTGGCGCGAATGGCTTGGTGAACGCTGTGCAGAGGCGGTAGATTCGCTGTTTCAAGGACGGACTGAGGCTACGAAGCTGGAAATGATTCGAAGAAGCTACTGTATGCACCAACTCTAGGTCAGCGAGTGCGGTCGTGAGCTGGTCAATATACGCGATGGGCTGGTTAGGAGGAGGTGCGCGGGACGAGGTGATGAGAGGAGCTGATACTAGATAGAAGATGAGCAAAGATGAGAGGAAGGGAAGGCAGACAGATAGAAGGGGGGCAGAGAGTAGGCGAGTGGTATGTGTGTGTGTGTGACCTTTCGGGGCATTGCTTGCTTTCCCCTGAGTCGGAAGGCGGTTGCGGAGCAGTTGGCGCAGCTGCAGCAATCTACACTCACAGTAGTGGCGGATTTGCGTGACCAGCGAACGAATTCGCGACCGCAATGGTGAGTCTCTCGAAGGGCTTGCGGAGGGAAGGATTCTCCGCCCGCTTCTGTATTGCGCAGAACTGACGCATTTGCGGCGCGACAGGGATTCTTAACCAGGATTTGCTTATTTGCTGAGCCGAAGCGCTGAAGAGCGAATGAGAGGGCGCCATGCTCAAGCCCTGAGGCCGCCACACTCCACCAATCAGACTCTACGCCTCCCTCGCGCGGTTCGCGGAGGATTCACGAATCAAAACGAGGTGCAGAACGATTTGCGTAGATCCGTCCGTTTTCAAAGGGGTTCAAGTGAATGTGTGTGGGTCTGTGAGGCGACGACGTCGCCACGATATCTTCCACCAACCCTTCGCGGCTCGGACCACGACATGGAGGACGTTCTTGGTGTTCGCTAAGCGGAAACGCGTTCTCACCTTCTTGTGATAATTCAGGAACAAAAAACACAGTGCCACGGACATTCACAAATACTTCATAATCTTGAAGGAAATTACCTACAGACAAGAAATCATCATTATCCAGGGTAATATTAATAATATATCACCCTTGGTATCAGTATTTAAGCGAAAATCAGCATTGATGAACTCCCTGTGCATGGTAGTAAGCCAATAGTCTTTTCATCCCATCGCATGAGAGCCCCCCTGTTGCATAACTTCCCTCTTCAGCCACTCCCTCTGCTGCATCTTCTGGCGTTGCCCTGCACTAACATTCCCTGCTGGCCGTCGGATCGGCATACCATCAATATCATCCAACACTGGAGATGCAGGATTTGGCCTGTGGATTGGCCCTCCACCTCCTCTTCCCCCACCTCCCCGGCCTCCTCCCATACCTCCTCCTGGACCCATCGGCCTTCCCCCCTGCATTGGCCTCTGCACCGGACCTCCAGTGCGGTATGGAGGTCCGGGCCGAGCCTGAGGTCCCGGGGGCCCTGCCCGCATACCCGGAGGAACCCCAACTCCGGGTCCCATACCTCCTCTCCCAGGCATCGCCTGGCCTGGAGAAGGCCTAGGTCCGGGGCCAGCACCAGGCCTGGGCCGAGGTCCAGTTGGATTGCCTCGGGGGCCTCCAGGTCCAGGAGCTGGTCCTGGGCCAGGCCTTGCTTGGGGAGCTGGCCTAGGCATGGCCGGACCAGTTGGAGGAGGTTCGGGTGCAGTACGAGCCATGGAGGGAGGAGCACTGGAAGCAGACCGAGCCATAGATGGAGGTCCGGGAGGGGCTGCTCCAGAAGGAGGTCTGGGAAGAGGGGAACTGGGAGGTCCGGAACGGTAGGGGCCAGTACGGGGTTGCCTTATACCCCCATCGGGTGCATCAGTGATGGAGATAGCACGGGCCATGGGGGAAGGGCGAGCAGTAACAGGAGCAACAGGAGGAATAGAAACAGACTGTGACTTGGCGGAACCAGTACTGTTGCTGTTGATGTTACTGTTGTCGCTGCTGTTACCATAACCGTTGCTGATACTGTCACTGTTCACAAAAGTGGGAGCAGATGCTGAAGGGGGAAAGGCAGGAGCTGTGGCGACCTGGTTCTTAGGCTCGGCCGAGCCTGGTAGCTTGCGTCGGACCGGGCCTGAGGGAGGGCGAGCCTTGGAGGGCGGGTGCGGTTGCAGGTGCGAGCGTCTGAAGTGGAGAGTGACAAGGGAGAAGGAGGTCAGCAGCTCCACCAGCACTGCCTCAAACTTGTCCTTGTCACAATAGTGAAGCGTCTGGTATGGGGGACAAGGGGAAGAGAAGGACGGAGGAGGTGGGGGCAATGGGTGTGGGACAAGTGGAGTGGCAGACACCAGCAGCTCCACCAGCACAGCCTCAAACTTGTCCTTGTCGCAATAGTGAAGAGTGTGGTATGGGGGACAGGGAAGAAAAGCAAAAGGGGGATCTTTTGAGACATGTCAAACGTACTGCATACCACCCACCCTCACAGACTCCCACTCGTCCCCACCACCACAGCCCTGGCCCCACCAGCACAGCCCTGGCCCCACCAGCACAGCCCTGGCCTGGCCCCACCAGCATCTCACCTCCACCAACATCTCACCTCCACCAGCATCTCACCTCCACCAGCAGCGTGCGGCACGATTCCTCCTCTGAGCGCCAAACGACTTGTCGCCATTCCACACCTCGATGCGCTCAGACAGAGGGACAGCCCACCGCACTTGATTCAACTCAAAACACGCGAGGCTGGGAGGAGGCAAAGAGCACTGGAGCCTCACGCACCTCCACCAGCAGCGTGCGGTGGCCGCGGTTTCTCCTCTGAGCCCCGAACGACTTGTCGCCATTCCACACCTCCGTGCGCTCAGCCAGAGGCACGACCCACCGCAGGATATCCCCCACCACGCCCTTGAGGTCCCGGGCTATCGCCCCGTCGATCTGCCGCTTGGACCGCTGCTTCAGCCGCTTGGCTAGGCGCCGACGCACCGTGGACGGCAGTATGGAGTAGAGCTCTCTTCTGGTGGGTGGAGGGTGAGCGGGAGGGAGAGAGGGCAGGGAGAGTATGAGGGCAGGGAGAGTATGAGGGCAGGGAGAGTATGAGGGCAGGGAGAGTATGAGGGCAGGGAGAGTATGAGGGCAGGGAGAGTATGAGGGCAGGGAGAGTTTGAGGGCAGGGAGAGTATGAGGGCAGGAAGAGTGTGAGGGCAGGAAGAGTGTGAGGGCAGGAAGAGTGTGAGGCACGGCCCACTTCAGAATGTCCCCCACCACGCCCTTGAGGTCCCGGGCTATCCCCCCGTCGATCTGCCGCTTGGACCGCTGCTTCAGCCGCTTGGCCAGGCGCCGACGCACGGTGGACGGGAGGATGGAATAGAGCTCCCTCCTGGTGGGTGGAGGGGGAGGGGAAGGGGGTGTAAGGGTGGGGCATCTTGAGGCGTCTCAAAGGTCTGCTCTGCTTCAGACGCTTGGCCTGGCGCCGACGCACAGTGAATGGGAGTGAGGGAAAAGAGGGTGTGAGGGTGGGGGTGAGGAGTGAGGGAGTGAGGAGAATGCGAGGGTGGGGGGGATGAGATACAGGGAGAAAACCAGGAAAAGTAAAGCGGGATAGGTAAATATTTATCAAACACCCTCTTATGTGAGAAAGGTCCCCGATTTCTTATTTCTTTCTTTCTTTCTTCTTTTCTCTTCTTGCAAACATAAAGGACCCTCACCACTGCTCTTTAAAAGGCTGGCTGATGGGGCTCATCTCCCTCATCTGCTCCACCCCCAGCAGCACTCCCACCCCACCCCACCTCAGAGCACCTTGAAGGGCGCACCCAAAACCCTCACCGCTGCTCCTTGAATGGCTGGCTGATGGGGTTCATCTCCCTCATCTGCTCCACCCCCAGCAGCACTCCCACCCCACCCCACCTCAGCGCACCTTGAAGGGCGCACCCAAAACCCTCACCGCTGCTCCTTGAATGGCTGGCTGATGGGGCTCATCTCCCTCATCTGCTCCACCCCCAACAGCACGCGCGCATACAACGAAGGCAGCCCCGCTGCCCCAATCCCAACCACCCACTCGCATCACCAAACCAGCAACACAACAAATACCAGAGACTCACCGCTGCTCCTTGAAAGGCTGGCTGATGGGGCTCATCTCTCGCATCTGCTCCACCCCCAGCAGCACTCGCGCATAAACTGACGGCAGCCCCGCTGCTCCCAGCGTCGCCTTCACCTCCTCCTTCTTGGGGGGGGCTGGCCGGCCGAAGACCGACCGGTACTGCTGCCACAACACCCCAATCGACACGGCCAACGTCTGTGAAGGGGGGAACGAGGGGTGAGAGGAGTGGGAGGGAGAGAGAGAGGGGGGGCTCATCACTCTCCTCAGCCCGCCCTGCTTGGGAGGAGCTGGCCGGCCGAAGACCGGCCGGTACTGCTGCCACAAACTTTAACTGAAACTGACAACATCTGTAAGGGGAAGGGGGGGCGAGGAGAGTGGGGAGAGGGGGGAGATTGGCTGGCCGGCCGAAGACAGACCGGTACTGCTGCCACAACACCCTCAGTAACACTGCCAGGCGCTGTGGGGGGAAGGGGGTGGGAAGGGAGAGTGACGGAGGGGAGACGATGGATTGGAGGGCAAAACGGACAAACAGAAACAAGAGTGATTGAAGGGAGCAGGCGAAAGGAGTGTGTCTGCCAGAGCAGACAAACTCCGTAAAACTGCCGTGACCGCAGTGAACCAGTCAGCACCTCATTAAACTCACCAGCACCGGTCGTTCGAGTGGGTGGTTCCAAAGGGATGCTCGCTGCAGCTGATGCACCACTTGCATCTGATGGGGAGGATGGTGAGAGAGAGGGGAGAACGGAGAGCGGGAAGAGAGGAGAGAGGGGATAAGGAATGAAGGCGAGAAAGACTTTTGAGTCGACTCAAAAGTCACCTTGAGAGGAGAGAGGGGATAAGGAATGAAGGCGAGAAAGGGAGAGTGGGGAGAGGAAGTGGGGTTTGAAGTCAGCATGTGGGTGGCTGCAACCACAAAGAGTCTTGAGACAGGCAGTGTGGGGCTCTTGGGTTGACAGGCAGGACGGTGGCTTTTGAGTCGACTCAAAAGTCACCTGTCGGAGTTACCGCTATGCTCTTCTCTGCCTTGATTCTCCTGCTCTGCCTCTCCTTCGTTCCTTCTGCTGCCTCAGCCACTCTCATGAAAGAGTGGTAACTCTCACCTCAAAGGTCCTCTCTGAGTGGTGTGCCACCTGTAGGCAAATCTGAGGTAACAACTGTCCACTATACGAAAGGATAACAAACAGAAAGCATTGTGTGTGTGTGTGAGAGTGAACTTACCTGTCCCTGGCTCGAGCCGTGCATTTCTCAATGTGCGGCTTGAGCCTGGGTTGGGTTTGTTCCCATTGGTCGCGAGGATTTCACCCCCTGGTGTTCTCCTACCAACTTCGCGTCAATTTCCCAGCCTCCCACCTACCCATCCTTGAGCCTGCATACAACAAATACAACACATTACTACACCCTTTCTACACCACAATCATACTGGCACCTTATATGCACAAACGTACATATTCGGTGACAGCTGTCGGAGTTACCGCTATGCTCTTCTCTGCCTTGATTCTCCTGCTCTGCCTCTCCTTCGTTCCTTCTGCTGCCTCAGCCACTCTCTGCCCCCTCCTGTGCCCGTGCTCGCGCAGCTTGAGCGCGGGTCACAGGACCGTTGCGCTGAGGCCCGCTGCCTCTGATCACGGCAGTGTTCGTTTGATGCTCCTTCACTTGCGCCCCCGTGTCATTCTCCAGGACCAGCACCCCTGAAGGGCGCACCTCCTTGACCTTCCAGCGGACCGTACCCAGCCCCACATCCAGGGTGTCTTGCTTTGCCCTCTTGAGGTACACCTCCTGCCCTTCACAGACGCCTCTTGCCACTCGCCCCTCTCCCTTGCGCTGCCTCTGTTCGTACCTCCTTGCGTCCCTCAGCTGTGCAGTGTGCAGGTTCTCCAGTGCCGCTGGCAGCATGTAGCGCATGTAGCGCGCTCTCACCTCGGACAGGGCCACCCAGTTCTTGATCGTGCCTGCTGTCACCGTGTCTGTCAGTACCCGTGGTGCCTCCACTGGCAGGATTGGCTCTCTTCCGTAAAGGAGGCTGTACGGGGAGTGGTCCTTGAGTGCTGCCTGCTTCCCGAACCTGTACCCTGCGGCTATCCAATCCAGCTCCTCATCCCAGTCCCTCTTCCTCTGCTCCCCATAGGCCCGCAGCCCCCGCTTGAAGGTCTGCACCGCTCGCTCGGTCAGCCCGTCGCTTTGTGGGTGGTAGCGGGAGGTTTTTCTGTGCGCTATGCCGGATTCCTTCAGCAGCTTCTCAAATTCCCCCAGAAACTCCGTCCCCTGATCCGTGAGTACCTCCCCGCACGCTCCAAAGCGACACACCACCTGCGCCTTGAAGGCTTCTGCTATGTGCCTCGCGCTCTTGCTGGGGATGGCTTTCACCTCCAACCACTTGCTCGCATGCTCCACCATGAACACGATGTACCGATTTCCGCTCCTGCTGAGCGGCAGCTCTCCCGCGAGGTCCAAGGACCATCGGAATCCCAACCCGCAAATCGGCAGTGAATGCAGTTCTGCTTTGGCCTGCGTTAAGTTTGCCTTGCTCCTCTGACACGCCTCACACCCCTCCACCCATTCTTTCACTTGCTTGCGCATCCCTTCCCACCACCAGCCTGTCTTCAGCAGGTGTACAGTCCTCTCGTGCCCGAAGTGTCCCAGCTTCGTGTGCACCTCCTTGATCACTGCTTCACGGTCCGTGGGTGCAGGCACTAGCTTCCACCCGTCCTCTGTCTTGATCTGCAGCTGCCGCTGATACCACCTGTAGTGGTGCCCCCGTGCCCGCACTCTTTCTGACACTGTCTCGTCTTCCTCTGTTTCTCCTTTCACCCACCGCATTGCCTTCTCGTCCTGCCAGATGTCGGCTGGTCCCTTGCTCCCCTTGGCTCCGACCTCTTCCGCTTCTCTCGCCAGCATGATCAAGGTGTGTGCTGGCTCCAGCTCCGTCCCTTCCGTCCCCTGTGTTCTCTGTCCTGATTCCAGCGGTGGTGGGTTGCGAGAGAGACCGTCGACGTGCTGCAGCGTCTTCCCCGGCCTATGCCTGATCTGGAAATCATATTCTTGCAGCTTCACTGCCCACCTTGCGTTTCTTCCCGTCAGCCCTGGTGTGGTCATCAGCCAAGTGAGGGGCTGATGGTCAGTGACCAGTGTGAACTCGCGGCCCTGCAGGTACACCCTGAAATGCCCCACCGCCCACACGGCCGCCAGCCCCTCCCCTATGTATGAGCTATACTGCGCCTCTGCGGGGTTGCAGCTCCTGCTGGCGTAGGCTACCACTTTTTCCACTCCCTCCACTTCCTGGCACAGGATTGCCCCCATCCCCTGGCTGCTCCAATCGGTGTAGAGGACGAAGGGCTGGTCTGCTGCTGGCAGCCGCAGCACGGTTGCTGTCTTCACGGCTGTCATGAGGTCTTGCAGTGCTTCCCTCTGCTGTTCTCCCCACTCCCATACCTTGTCCTCTCGCAGCATCCCGTTCAGCACTGCCGCCCGCTTACTGAAGTTAGGCACGAAGCGCCTGTAGTAGCTGAGGAAGCCCAAGACTGCGCGCAGCCCTGTCTTGTCCCTGGGTTCCCTCAGCCTGTCCAGCACCTGCACCTTTGCTTGCTGAATCCCGATCTGTCCTCCTGTCACTTCATACCCCAGGTACTGCACTGTCCGCTCCCCCCACCTGCACTTGTTGGGATGACAGGTGAGCCCTGCCTCCTCTATTGCACTCAGGGTCCGCTCCACGTCCTCAAGGTGCTGCTGCTCTGTCTGGCTGAAGATGACCACATCATCAATGTAGCATGCTGCATGTTCAATCCCCCGCAGCACCGCATCCATAACTCTCTGAAACACTGCCGAGGCATTCCGCAGGCCGAAGGGCATGTATAACCACTCATACAGCCCGCCCGGTCCGTGGAAGGCTGTCTTCTTCACATCTTCCTCTCTGATTTTTATCTGATTGAATCCCTGGCGCAGGTCCAGCGTCGTGAAGTATACTCCGTCGGCCAGCTTGTCGAAGAGTTCTTCCGCCATTGGCATGGGGTACCTATCCGGCACGGTGATCTTGTTAAGATCTCTGTAATCACCGCACATTCTGCGGCTCAGCACCTCGCCTGTCAAATCCTTCCTGGCTGCCACCACGGTCGGGGTTGCGTACTCTGACTCTGACCTTCTGATCAGTCCTGCTTCCAGCAACTCCTGTACTTTCTCCTTGCAGATCGCCTCATCCCCTGGTGGCATCTTTCTTCTGCGATGGAACACCGGCTCTTCACTGTTCAGCTTCAATGCCATCTCCTTGATCTTGCACTTCCCCAACTCCTGCAGGGTGAAAGCGAAGCCTTTCCTGTGCTTGACCAGGAGTGCCAGCATCGCTGTCTTCCCTCCCTCGCTCATGCTCTCTCCTATCTTCCACTCAGGCTCTGCTGTTGGCAGGCAGGTCCACACCCCTTGTCTCACCGTTGCCTCTGTATTTTCTCCCTCCTTCAGTCCCCAGTGCAGCACCGTTTCTCTCCACATCCGCTGCACCAACCACCTCATCACGTATCCATCCATTGCATTCCCCATCGCCCGCCTCCTTTCCTGCTCTGTCACGCCCGGGGCTGCTGTGATGTTCTCCTTGTACCCCATAGCCAGCTCCCTCTCCAGGGCCGTGGGCTCTTCCCATCTTCCCTTCCTATGATCGAGCACTAGTCCTGGGCCTGGCTGCTTCCCCTCCATCTGGTACCCTGCTGCCCCTTCATATGACACGAGCGTCGGCAGTGCTTGCCTCTCTTGCCCCACTGTGTTGCAAGGGTAATGTCGGCTGTAGCTCCTCTTGCTTACTGGTGCTGGTGTTCGCCCAGGCTCGAGTATATCGCTCAGCTTCCGCCCCCCTGCTCTTCTCACCCCCTCTATCTCCCTCTGCAGGTCTTCTGCTGGCACCACGTTTTGCCAATACATTCTGAGCCTGTGTGAGTAGGCTCCCATCCGTGTTGCGTCGCAGCTTACCCCTTTTCCCACCTGTCTGGTCACTCGCTCCCTTACCAGCCGTATGGGCTCACGCACATCTCCTTCCATGTCTAAATGCTCCAGCAGGTACGCCACCCTGCCTTGTTGAGCCTGCAGCCATTCCATCACTCTGAACAAGTCCTCCATCAGCTGTGTTCGCAGGTCTTGCTCACCCTTGCCTTTCCCAGCCCATGATACCCCTTGGCACTCCCACCCAGCCACTAACAGGTCCACGTGCCCCCCAGCTTGCCACCTCAGCTTCTGTGATGGCCCTGACGTCGTTGACTCCTCTGCTCATTGCTGCCCTGATCACCTCTTCCTTCAACAGCTCCGGGAACTCGCTGTGCAGCTGCCATGCATGATGCTCCGCCATTTTCCTTGCTTCTGCCGCCTTCTCTACGTAAATCCACTGCTTCACTGCTATCCCGTTCCGTACCACCGCTGCCAAACCCGCCCCTATGCCCCCGAAGAGTTCCACCAGGCGGATAGGTTGCTGCCAATCGGATTGTTGGCTGGGCTCGTCCATGAAGTGCATCCTCGGCTGTCCACCCTGTTCCTTGTTCCTCGCGGTCTCCTGTGCCCCCTGCTTCGCTGCCCCCTCCTTCAGATCCGCCCTGTAAGCCCGCTTTGGCTCTGTCTTGACGAACTGCACCGGCAGCTGTCCCAGTGGCTCACCCTTCTTCCACCACCTGGTTCTGAATTCTACCGTCTCCTTCCAAAAGCAGATGGTCATGCCCAGTGCAAAGATCATCTCCGTGCCCACCAAAACGTCGAAATCTTCAGATTCTGAGATCCCACACCTGATCCTCACCGGTGTTTCGTGCTTCTCTCCTTTGAGCACCGTCAGTTCTATTGGAGTCCTTGTGCATGGCATCCACTTTGACTCTCCTCCCTCTGCTGTCATCACCAGCATTCCCTTCACTACATGTCTGTCCGGCGCCCACAGTCCCAGTTTTTCTGCCATTCCCCTCCCTAGTATCACGCTCTGCGCGCCCGTGTCTATAATAGCCGTCTTCGCCTTCTCCCCTTCCACTGACAGCGCACCTCCTTGTATCAGCAGCACTGAAGTCTGGCACGCCAGCCGCTCCTGTGGATGCCGTGCCGCTGTACACCTCTCTTCCTTCTCCTCCGGTTTCTGTCCTCTTTCTCGCTCCTTCCTTACCTGGTCCTTCCGTGCATCCTTTCCTCCGCTGCGTAGCCCCATCTCCTCCCTTCCTCTCCATGCCATGTATGCTGGCTGCTCCTCGTGTTCCACCTCATCCTTCGCTTTGCTTGCCCAGCTCATGAAAGCGGCCTCCTCATCTTGCTCTACATCCTCTTCCTTTTCCTTCCCCGCGTACATCCCCGCTTCTGCCTCGCGTCGTGGTCCCATTGCCTGCAGCTGAGCCTGCAGCCTGCCAATCTGCTTTTCCAGGTCCTCTGGTGTCCTCTTCGCCGCTCCTTCCCGCTGATAACACTCCCTTGCTGCATGCCCTCCCTTCCCACAGATTTCGCACTTCGGAGCTGTTGGGCATTCCCGCCGCCGGTGCCCTGGCTTACCACAGGAGTCGCAGTTCTTGCAGTCTCTGCGCAGGTGCCCTGGCTGCCCGCATCGGTGGCACGTTCGTGCGTCAGTCCTGCTATCCCCTCTTCCCCCTGCCCTTTCCTTTTCCTCTGGTATCATGGCTGCTGCCCATGTAGGTCCTCTGCCACGCTCCGCTGGTCGTTGCCGGTAGGCTTCAAGCTTCCTCTGGGCCATCTCCATCTTCTCAGCTAGCTCAAACACTTCATCAAGTGTCACTTCAGCCCCCATCTCATATACTTTCAGCCTCAGCCCGCTTCCCAAGGTACCCTCCAGGCCGTCCAGGAACTTGCTCACAAGCAGGCCCATGTCCGCACAGCTCACGTCCTCCGCTATGTTGACCAGCCGATTGTAGTAGGTGAGTAGTGACTCTCCCCGCCCCTTCCTAAAGTCTTGAAACTCTCTGATCTTCTCTGCAGTGTGGCCTGGGAACTGCCGCTTCAGCCGCCTCAGAAATTCTTCGGTTGGGTCCTCCCCATACCTTCCTGCCCTCTCCAGTAGCTCATTCATCTTCATCCTGTATAACGTTTCTGCCTCCCCCTCCAGTGTGTTTGGCAGGCTCAGAAAGAAGTCCACTGCATCCATGCCGCCCCTCTCGCATCTGTACCGCACGTTGCCCACTTGCATGAGATAATTCTTCAGTGTGGGCCCCAATCGCTGGTCCCCAGAGAAGCGTGCTGGTACTTCCACCCTTGTGACCATGGCTGTACTTCCCTTTCCTTCTCCCCACGCCTCACTATATCTCTCTGCTGTCCTGCCTGCCGTTCCCCTCTCTCCCGCCCGCCGTATTCCCTCCCTCGCCTCTCTGGCTCGCTCCAGGCTGTCCATCAGCCCGCTGCCTCCCACTCTGCTGCTGCGCAGATCTTGTCCTCCTTCGCCGGCACGCCTCTCGTCATGTTGCCGATAACGCTCTGGCGAACGTGCCCCACCGCTTTGCCTTATATCCCTGCTCCGCTGCCGCGGTGGCGAGCGATGTCTGCCCCCGTGACTCTCCTCAAGCTGCTGCCGCCAATCCGGCGAGCGCGCCTCGCCTCTCCACCCTCCTCCAGGATACCGGTGCGCGTCAGGCGAGCGCTGGACATCTCTGCTCCTCCCATCATGATAGCGCTGCAGATCTGGTGAGCGTGAGCCCCTCTCGCTCCTCCCGCCGTGATACCTCCGCGGATCTGGTGAACGCGTGCTGTCTCCGCGCTCCTCCCCACGACGCTGCCGTGGATCTGGCAAGTGGTGACCACTTCCGCGCATTTCGTCGTGCCACTGCCGCACATCAGTCGAGCGGTAGCCGCCGTCGCGCCTGTCCTCACGCTGCTGCCGCGAATCTGGCGAGCGGTTGCCGCCGTCACGTCTGTCCTCGCGCTGCCGCCGCGGATCTGGCGAGCGGTAGCCGCCGCCGCGCCTCTCGTCACGCCGCAGCCGCGGATCTGGCGAGCGATGGTCGCCGCCGCGCCTCTCGTCACGCTGCAGCCGCGGATCTGGCGAGCGATGGTCGCCGCCACGCCTCTCGTCACGCTGCCGCCGCGGATCTGGCGAGCGATGGTCGCCGCCGCGCCTCTCGTCACGGTGCAGCCGCGGATCTGGCGAGCGATGCCCGCCGTCGCGCCTCTTGTCTTGCTGCAGCCGCGGATCTGACGCATGCCTCTCGCCACCATGATTCTGGTCGTGGTGCTGATGGGGGGTCGGCGAACGCGATCCACGGCTACGCCTCCTGTCGTCGTTGCCTTCTTCACCACGCGTCTGGTTCCGCGCACCATCCTTCCCGCCTATTTCTGCCGCGCCTGGCGCAGCCTCCTCGCTCGCCAGCATCGGACTGGCTTCCTTGACTTCGGCGTGCATATCGCGCTGCTCGCCCGCGCCTTCCTCATGGGCCTCGTCATCGCCCTTCGCTTCACTCTCGAGATCCATTTCCTGCGGCTTCTCCGCCATATCGACCTCGCCCTCCCCATCCACATCGAGATCTCCTTGCCGACCAGAGAATAGCTCCTCCAGGCCACGCCCGCGACTGCGATCTTCGCGACGGCGGTAACCTTCGTCCGGCGAGCGATACGCTCCCGTGTCGTGGCGATGTCCGCATTCGCCACCAGCCCCGTGGTGCGTATCCGTCCGCCACGGGTCACTTCCCATCCTGACGGACTCGGATCCGCCTCTTCCTTCGCGCTCTGCACCTTCTTCACGGCGATCTGGCGCGAGAGGGACCAGATCGGCGCGAAAAGCCGGCCTCCGCGGCGAGCGCTCAGGCCTCCGCGGCGAGCGGTCAGGCCTCCGCGGCGAGCGGTCAGGCCTCCGCGGCGACCTCTCTAGCGAACGCCCGCGCTCTCGTGAGCGCTCCCGCCGCGAGCGATCACCCTCACGACGATCGTACTTCCTGCCATAACGCAACTCGTGCACATCCATGCTTGCACGCGCACCTTTCTGTTTGTTATGAAAGAGTGGTAACTCTCACCTCAAAGGTCCTCTCTGAGTGGTGTGCCACCTGTAGGCAAATCTGAGGTAACAACTGTCCACTATACGAAAGGATAACAAACAGAAAGCATTGTGTGTGTGTGTGAGAGTGAACTTACCTGTCCCTGGCTCGAGCCGTGCATTTCTCAATGTGCGGCTTGAGCCTGGGTTGGGTTTGTTCCCATTGGTCGCGAGGATTTCACCCCCTGGTGTTCTCCTACCAACTTCGCGTCAATTTCCCAGCCTCCCACCTACCCATCCTTGAGCCTGCATACAACAAATACAACACATTACTACACCCTTTCTACACCACAATCATACTGGCACCTTATATGCACAAACGTACATATTCGGTGACACACCTCGCTGACTTGACATGCAGGATGGTGATGAGAAGTCGAACATCCGAAACCCAAATAACATCTCGAGTCGAACTTTCTCCCGTCCCCATCTCCATCCCACCTGTTCGATCACAACCGTCAACCGTTCATCCACCGCACCCCACCCACTATTTTCTCCTCCCACCACCATCCCACTTGCTCCAGCACAGCCCCCCACCGCACTCCACCCATTGTTCACTCCTCCCAACCCAACCCCACCTGTTCCATCACGGCGGCCTGTGGCTTCCCCTTGGGCCGACGCGTCTTAGGGTTCTGCACCTCGGGATCTCCTGCTGAGCTGGTGGGCGGAGGGTAGGGGGGAGGGGGAGGGGGGAGCAGATGCGGAAGGCGAGGGGGGAGACAAGGGGAGGGCGGAGGGAGGGGGAGGGGGGAGCAGATGGGGAAAGCGAGGGGGGAGACAAGGGGAGGGCGGAGGGGAGGGGGAGGGGGGAGCAGATGGGGGGAAACAAACAGTGAGTGGGTGCGGCCTGCAGCTTTCCCTTGGCCAGACAGGTCCTGGGGTTCTGCAGTTCGGGGTTTCCTGAGGAGCTGGTGGGCGGAGGGGAGGGGGAGGGGGAGGGGGAGGGGGGAGGGGGAGGGGGGAGGGGGAGGGGGGAGGGGAAGGGGCACGTTTAGCTGGGGCCCTGCAGCCGCGATGTTTGATGCTTGCGTCGCTCTTAACGAAATTCAAAAGCCTCACCTGTTGATGACGTCATCCAGTGCCAGCATTGCGTTGTGCAGCGCTCCCATTGGCTCCAGCTGTTCCCTCAGAAAACTGCCAGGAAAAGAAGGGGCACAAATTAAGGCCAGTCTGAAAAAAAAAAAAAAAAAAAAAAAAAAGAGAGCAAACAAAAAATACGGCAAAGACGCGTGCAACGACAAGCAAACAACGACAAAGAATATGTTCGTCCGCCTCGCCCTCGCTAAAGCTATCTTCTCTCTTCCATGCACGGCTGTACCCCCGCAGCCGCTTCAGCACCTCCCCGGCCAAACACCCCCTCCCCTCCCCCCTTGTCTCATCACACCAAGGCCTTCTCACCGCATGAGTTCGTCCGCCTCGCCCTCGCTAAAGCTATCTTCTCTCTTCCATGCGCGGCTGTACCCCCGCAGCCGCTTCAGCACCTCCCCGCTCCGCGCGCCCCCGCACCTGCGCGCCAGCACCCCCACGGCGGCGGTCAGCGCGGTGAGGTCGGAGGCATACTCCGCGCCCGCCAGGCGCCAGCGGAGGGAATAGTCCCCCACGCACAGGCGCTTCAGCCCCTCGGTCTGGGGGGGAGGGGGCGGGGAACAGGGGGAGAGAAAAGGGTGCGCGCGGTGAGGTCGGAAGCATACTCCGCGCCCGCCAGGCGCCAGCGGAGGGAATAGTCCCCCACGCCCAGACGCTTCAGCCTCTCGGTCTGAGGGGAGGGGGAGAGTGGGGTTGGGGAACGGGAGCGCGCGTGAGGTCGGAGGCCTGTTTTGCGCCCGCCAGGCGCTTCAGCCCTTCGGTCTGCTTGCGGGGAGAGAGGTGTTTGGGGAAGGGGGAGGGAGGTCGGAGGCATACTCCGCGCGCACCAGGCGGGAAAAAAGAGGAAAGCGGGGAAAGAGAGGTGGGAGGGGAGGGGAGAGAGAGAGAGAGAGAGAGAGAGAGAGAGAGAGAGAGAGAGAGAGAGAGAGAGAGAGAGAGAGAGAGAGAGAGAGAGAGAGAGAGAGAGAGGAGCAGAGGAGGACGGAAGGGGGGTGCTGTTTGAGTCGACTGTGGGAGAACACTGCGCGTCTTCAATGTAGCTGCTTTTCTAAGCGAAAAATGTTCCGCGAGTCGAGCTGCCTCCAAAGTTCGCGCGCGCCCCGTGAACTCGCGACCTCGAGGGAGAAAGCGCCCGTGCGTACAGGTCGTGGCCGGCGGAGAGGCCGGCGCGGGGCAGTGCGCCTCGCGGGAACTCATTTTCGCCAATCAAAGGTGGTGGCCAGGGGGGCAGGCGGCGGGGAGACAGTGTTTGCGCCTGGCGACTCTTGCGCCGACTACGGTGCGCAATGAGCTTCTGAAACGTCTGGAATTAGAAAGAAAAGGCAACCAGCCAAAACAGACAAACAGAACCGGCTCACCTGCAGCTGCTTTTCCAAGCCCGCTATATTCCGCGCGTCGAGCTGGCGCCATAGATCAAGTGCTTTCCGCATGAGCGACGCGACCTCGAAGGAGAGAACGCCCATGGGGAGGTCGTGGCCGGGCGGCAGGCGCGGCGCGGGGGCCGCCGCGGCTGACGGGAACTCGAGATCGACCAGCGCGTCCACCACGCTCGTCTGGTTCCCCATCGCTCGCGCGCTGCTGCTCGAACTCCCGCGCCTATCTCGCTCTCGCTCCTCTCGACGATACGTTCGTGTAGCGCAAGGCTCACGTCGTGATGTTTGCTACAGCTGATATGCCACGGTGGTTGCTCCAACGTCACGCCACGGTGTTCGCTACACAAGGCTTGTCGGACAAGTTTGCTGTCCTTGTTGCGAATTAAGCCGTCCGACAGGCTAGGTTGGGTGTTAACGCCGGTTCAAGTAGGCTCAGACGGACAGACTGATTGTTACTGGCGTTCGGGCTAACTGGAAAGGTCTGTACGGAACGAATAATTTAAAATATAACTAGCGATCTCTAGCGCGGAAATGTATAATGCAGCAGTCACTAGGAAAACAGAATGTATTTTCCCGCCAAAGCTGCCGCGCAGTCCGCAGCTGTATAACTGAATCGGTATCACAGAAACTAAGTATGCAAGAAAATCTGGCGGAAGTGGTGACGAGTCCTCGGAGAGGACGTCAGGCATGTAGACTGGGAAGTAAAGATGTGCGGTACGGTAATCTCAAGGTCCCTGAGCGGAGCGGAGGCGATGACACATCAGAAGAAATAGACAGAAAGAAAAGGTAGGTTTTCCCTCAAGTGTAGCGGAAGGGTTAAAGCGGTTGAGCGGATCCACATCTTTCTTGGGTGTACTGTTCCTGTCTAGTTTCCGTACCGTAGGTCAGGTCGGTCGGTTGTTCTGCCGTGGTGTTGCGCACGTGTTCACTGATGGTTGATGGGTGCTTTGTTTTTGCTGCTGCCCATGCCCGGAAACTTCCCTGCTCCATCGAGGCTGTACAGTGTGCTGCCCCGTCAAGGCAGAAACTGTACCAGTTCCCGCCGATCTGACCAAGCTGCCCGTCTCCGTTCTTCCCGTCTCCCTGTCAGTTCCATGGCAGATGCTGGTAGGCATTGCTGCTGCTGAGTCATCCATGACGTGTACTTTACAAAAGTTCAGAAATCCCAAGACGGGCAGATTTGCCAGACGTTTGACTTCAGGTAAGGACGTGGGCCCAATCGAGTTTGATCGCCTCGATCACACGCGATCAACAATTCTAGGAAGTCTGGAAGCCAATTTCATGCAATCGGGGGCAAACGGCTGATTGCGATCAACTGATCGCCCCAACTCAATCAGACCCGATATTTACCCCGATCAAAGTCGATTTTTGTCGATCACAGGCGATCACCTAATTGCATGTGATCGGGGCCCACAGCGACACTTGCGAACAGTTACACTGTTGCAATTACAGGGAAATGAAGATGTTCGCCAGGTAAAGTGTGGTCGCCAATCTCGCTAAAAAAGGGGACGAAAATGCGAGGTAAATGCACTACGCTTGCTCAGCAGGCGCTGCAAATTTTCTTCAAAAAATAGCGGCTCGGGCATTGCGATCACATGCAACCCGATCAGATCCGACCCGACCAGATCATTCATGATCAAACTCGACTGGGCCCACGTCCTAAACTGTCACGTGGATTTGCCAGCCAATCAATCATTCTATGACGAATAATTGGATTGCGACAAGAGCATCTGCGAAAGAACCGATATTCCTAATTCATGAATCCGAGTAACACGTGTTACACTCTGTCCACACTTACACGCAATAGTAGTAATTGGTTATTATTCGTCTGCCTTTGCCGACTATCGGTGCCGAGTTTCGTGTTTTGGTTTCGCAATCATCCACGTCCCACGTGTCCTTATGTGAACTAACCTTTCTCTGCGATTAGAGTATCGAGCCGTACTTTACCTCCAACTTGAACTGACATGTTCTCTACTCAGATGAACATGTCGCAAGTCACCCCCGTGCCGTATCGCACCGCGGCAATTGCCCCAGTTGCGATCCCCTGCGACCCAGGCGATTGGCGCGGGCCGCATCATGCGAACCGATCCGCCGAATCGCAGGCGAGGAACTCGCTATCGTGCGATTGGATGTTCAGATCCGCCCCAACCGCGACCGTCGCAGCAGCAGGAGGGCCACTGAGCCGCCGCGCTGCGTACTATAACCCATGCGCAACAGTCCTTCACACACAGGTTCATTTCACGCGATTCCTCCGAACCCGAAGCGCGCTAAATTCTCCTAGAAACTTGCCCTCCTTTCACCGCCTAGCCGTTTTCGCCGCTAGCGGTACAAGCCAAGCCTCGGGCGGATCTGAGCCGTCAGTATCGGCTCAGATCCGTGGGATCGGGGAAGTGGAGTTCGGCGGGAAGCTTGGCGGAAAGTTCCTACAGGATGACGTGGGGCCGAACCAGGTGGTTCTCGAGGCGCAGGCGCGCGTGTGCACTGGACCCACGCAGACCCGGCCGCTGGGAGAAGAGGAGATGCGGCGCGTGTTGGAGCAGATCTTGCTTTCAGGTGTGCCCTCAAGTGTTCTGTCAGGTGCGCCTTCAGGTGTTCTGTCAGGTGCGCCTTCAGGTGTTCTGTCAGGTATGTCCCAGGTGTTCTTTCAGGTGAGCCCCAAGTAACCCGTCAGGTGTTCCGTCAGGCATGACATTACCCTCCAACTGCCTTTCCCTAATCATCTACTCTCGCCTCTCTCATATTCTTCCCCACTCAGCCAAGGGAGAATTGCCTCAGTGAACTGAATCGTGCAACAACCTTAACCCCTGTCCCCTGGCCCCTGTCCCCTGTCCCGTGCCCCTTGTTCCCTGTCCCCTGTCTCCTGCCCCTGCCCCCTGCCCCCTCTCCCCTCTCCCCTCTCCCCTCCTCGCTCCCCCTTGTCCCTTGTCCCTTCCCACCTGCCCCTTGCCTCCTCCCCTCTTTCTCCCTTGTCCTTCGTCCCCTGCCCCACACACCAGCAAAAGACGAACTTATTTCATCAGAGCGAGTGTCACGCGTGCATATGGGGGTGGTCTTTGCGGGCATGACAGTGCGAGCCAATGCTTCCCCCCTCCTCGCCCTTTATCCTTCTGTTCTTTGCCCTGGAACCCTCTTTGCCTGCCCTGCCAGCAAAGGCCGAGCTCCCCCCATCAGAGTTAGTCTCACGCGCTCAGATGGGGGCGGTCTTTGCGGGCATGATTGTGCGAGCCAACTGCTTCCCTCCTGCCACGCAGTGGAGTGACAAACACAACAACCCTTCACTCTTCCGCGCCCCCCTGCCCCCCTGCCCCCCTGACCCCTCCCTCTTGGCCCCTGCCCCCTGCCCCGTGCCTCCTGCCCCGTGCCTCCGTGCCGCCTGCCCCGTACACCAGCCAAAGAGGAACTGCCTCCCTCTGAGCGAGTGTCACGGGCGCAGATGGGTGCCTTTTTCGCGGGCATGACAGTGCGAGCCAACTGCTTCCCACCTCCCACGCAGTGGAGCGAGGGGGAGAGGAGGGCGCTGGTTGACATGTGGCCCGCCCTCAAATACCACCTCCCCCGGGACGTGCTCTTCCTTGCCGACCCTCAGGTGGGTGCTGGGTGAGGTGAAGGGACCCAATACAGTCTCTTGCTCAGGGTTCCATTAAAATATAAAAAAAATATATATATATGTATATATATATCGCCTGTGGGTTCCACGTCCCCCCCGCCCCGCATGGGTCGGAGCAGTAGGCTCAGGTAGTGCTGTGGCGCGTGAGGTGTGGTGGGATGCGGTGAGATGCGGTGGGATGCGGTGGGATGCGGTGGGAGCCACATGTCTCGTGCCTCTCGAGTGTGTCTCAATCTCGATACTCTCCCCTGTTCAATACACCTCCCCACCCCCTCAGGTGGTGGGGTGGGGTGCGACTCGCGAGCCACATACCGACCTTGTGCTGCTTCTGTGTCCCTCCATTGCATCCCCCCAGGGTTCCATTTTCAACGATGCTCTCCCTGTGGGCCCCACGTTCAACGGGCATGGGTCGGAGCAGGAGGCGCAGGTGGTCGGAGATCTCAGGGATATTCTGTTCGGCGTGCACCTTGGCTTTCAGGTGAGAATTCAGGTGGAATCTCAGGTGAGGTATCAGGTGAGGTTTCAGGTGAGATCTCAGGCGATATCTCAGGTGAGGAATCAGGTGAGATTTCAGGTGAGGTTTCAGGTGAGGTCGTCTGGCCTGCGTGTGGAGCAACATTACGCATTCACTTTCTCCTTCTCCACCACAAGCGCACTCACCCATGCTGCTGACATGGACACGGATTTCAAGATTGTTTTGCGTTCTTGCTGCCTACTTTCAGTAAGCGTTACTCTTCTCTTGTGTGGTTTTCTGTGCCTCCCAACCTCCCCAAACCCCTCCTGTCCAGGAGACCATGTCTCTGCTGCAAAACCTGCTGCCCATGAGAGGCGGTGCGGCTGCAAGGGGCGGGGCGGGGGAGGGAAGGACGTGGGAAGCGTTTGAGACAGCTCAAAACCGCTGAGATCTGCAGCAGCAACATGGTCCTGTGTGCTCTCCTTTGCCACCCCCAACCCCACCCCTTCCAGGAAACCATGTCGCTGCTGCAGAACCTGCTGCCCATGAGGGGCGGAAGTGCGGAGGAGGGAGTGGGGGGGGTGAGCGATGCTCTGGTGGCGGCATATTTGATCGCCGTGCGCATGAACCGAGAGACTGACCGCGAGCTCAAGGCATTCTGCCTGGCGTTCGATCAGGTATGGCGCGATGCATTCTCGTGCCTGGGGTACAAGTGCGGAGGAGGGAGTGGGGGCGGGCGGGTGAGTGATGCTCTGGTGCCGGCATATCTGATCGCCGTGCGCATGAACCGAGAGACCAACAGAGAGCTAAAGGCCTTCTGCCTGGCGTTTGATCAGGTAGGGCGGTGTAGTGGGAGGAGTGCCCAGTGCCATGCCTTTTGCTAGGTCTTTGATGTGGGGGTAGGGGTTGACTTGGAGGGAGTGAGCGATGCACTGGCGGGGTGCAAGGAGGGGAGCCATGCCTTTTGTGTCGACTCAATAGTTTCCTCGTGGGGGGAGGGGTTGACTTGGAGGGAGTGAGCGATGCACTGGCGGGGTGCAAGGAGGGGAGCCATGCCTTTTGTGTCGACTCGATAGTTTCCTCGTGGGGGGAGGGGTTGACTTGGAGGGAGTGAGCGATGCACTGGCGGGGTGCAAGGAGGGGAGCCATGCCTTTTGTGTCGACTCAATAGTTTCCTCGTGGGGGTAGGGGTTGACTTGGAGGGAGTGAGCGATGCACTGGCGGGGTGCAAGGAGGGGAGCCATGCCTTTTGCTTGGTATCTGATCCCTCCCTCCCACCCACCCACCCACCCGCCATCTAACTCCCTCCACTCGCCTCCCTTCCTTGCTCTTTCCATCTCTCCCTTGAGTTCATCACCAATAGCAAACGTGCCTTCACTTCCACACGACGGGGACCCCTACGATGGCAGCACGCGCTACTCCCTCCCTTGCTTCCCCCCCTCGCCCCGCCTCTCATTCTGCTCCCCTTGCTGTTTCTTCACCTTCAGGAGATGGGTCCAGCCCCCATTGCAAGAGTGCCTTCACTCAGCCACTACGGAGATCCCTATGACGGCAGCACACGCTACTTCCGCCCGACGCTCTTCGTGGCAGCAGTCAGGGCGAGCTGTGGAGAGGCGTGTCTGCTGCATGGGGTGGACGAGTTTCCCCCCAAGGTGAGGGGGACTGGTGGGGAAGAGGGGGGCGGAGGGGGTACCACTCTTTGTGGCGGCGGTCAGGGCGAGCTGTGGAGAGGCGTGTCTGCTGCATGGGGTGGACGAGTTTCCGCCCAAGGTGCGAGGCTACATGCTCCCATCCAAGGTGCGAGGCTACATGCTCCCATCCAAGGTGCGAGGCTACATGCTCCCATCCAAGGTGCGAGGCTACATGCTCCCATCCAAGGTGCACGCCGGTCCTCAACTCTCAGCTGCATGCACGAGGTGGGTGGGTGGGTGGGTGTTGACGGCAGCATGCGCTACTTTCGCCCGACGCTCTGGAGTGGAGGCTGTCAGGGCGAGCAGTGGGGAGGCTGTCAGGGCGAGCAGTGGGGAGGCTGTCAGGGAGCAGTGGGGAGGCTGCGAGCAGTGGGGAGGCTGTCAGGGCGAGCAGTGGGGAGGCTGTCAGGGCGAGCAGTGGGGAGGCTGTCAGGGCGAGCAGTGGGGAGGCTGTCAGGGCGAGCAGTGGGGAGGCTGTCAGGGCGAGCAGTGGGGAGGCTGTCAGGGCGAGCAGTGGGGAGGCTGTCAGGGCGAGCAGTGGGGAGGCTGTCAGGGCGAGCAGTGGGGAGGCTGTCAGGGCGAGCAGTGGGGAGGCTGTCAGGGCGAGCAGTGGGGAGGCTGTCAGGGCGAGCAGTGGGGAGGCTGTCAGGGCGAGCAGTGGGGAGGCTGTCAGGGCGAGCAGTGGGGAGGCTGTCAGGGCGAGCAGTGGGGAGGCTGTCAGGGCGAGCAGTGGGGAGGCTGTCAGGGCGAGCAGTGGGGAGGCTGTCAGGGCGAGCAGTGGGGAGGCTGTCAGGGCGAGCAGTGGGGAGGCTGTCAGGGCGAGCAGTGGGGAGGCTGTCAGGGCGAGCAGTGGGGAGGCTGTCAGGGCGAGCAGTGGGGAGGCTGTCAGGGCGAGCAGTGGGGAGGCTGTCAGGGCGAGCAGTGGGGAGGCGTGTCTGCTGCATGGGGTGGACGCCTTTCCCCCCAAGGTGCGTGAATTTCCTGCATGCCTTGCCTCAACTCTCAGCTGCAAGCAAGCACGGGGTGGGTGGGTGGGCGGGTGGGTGGGTGAGTGTTGACGGCAGCACGCGCTACTTCTGCACGACTCTCTTCGTGGCGGCAATCCTGAGCCTGCTAGGGGCCTGCTAGGGGCCTGCTAGGGGCTCAGGATGTCAACACCAGGCTTGTCTTTCTATATCCCCTGCTCCTTCTCTCCCCGCTCCTTCTCTCGCCCTTCACTCTACCCCTCCACCTAACCCCCCTCTCTCGCCTCTCGCCCGTCCGTTCGGAGCCACAGAGGGGGCAATGCTGAGCCTTCTGGGTGCCCAACTCCACTTTCTCACCTTTTTGCCACTATCCCCCTCCACCCTCCTCCTCCACCCTCCCCCTCCACCCTCCCCCTCCTCTCTCCCCCTCCACCCTCTCCCTCCACCCTCCCCCTCCACCCTCCCCCTCCACTCTCCCCTTCCCCATCCCTCTCTTGCTTCTCGCCCTTCAGTTCGAAGCCACAGAGGAGGCGATGCACTTCTCGTCAACACTTCAGCCCGCTGGGACCCAACACTTTTCGTCTCTCCCCCTCCACCCTTCCCCTCCATTCTCCTCCACTTTTTCCAATTCCGTCCTCCTCTCCACTCTTCACATCCCTCCTCCCCCCTCTCTTGCTCTCGCCCTTCAGCTTGGAGCCACTGAGGAGGCAATGCCGAACATGCTAGGAGCCAACACCAACCTACCTCTTTCCGTCTTGTTTCTCCCCATCCATTCTCCTCCTCCACTCTCCTTCACTCTTCCTCCTCTCCCTTTTCTCTCTCCCATCGCCCTTCAGCTTGGAACCACGGAGGAGGCAATGCTGAACTTGCTAGGAGCCAACACCGGCCTCTCCCCGTCTCAAGCTGCTACCATCTTGCAGGTGAGTTGGCCAGCATTGTCAAATCTGCTTCTTGGGTTTGGGGCTGCTGACATTGTTGGGGTGCGGTGGTGGTTCCTTGTGTTTGGCCATCCTGAATGCAATCTCTGTTATCGCAGTCTGTGGCCCTGGTGTCTCCACTGTATCTGTCTCTGTCTTCCCTGCCTCTCAGCTCCCATGCCTTGTCTGTGTATACGTCTCTGCAGGACCCGCAAGTACACATGGCATATCTCAGCCTCAACCCGCAAGCAGGACTGCTCTGCTTCTGTCTGTCTCTCCGTGAGGACTGCTCTGCTCCCCTAGACAGCCACCACAAGAAGCCTCTGTCTCTCCTGCCTCTCCTCTCTTTCATGTCTCCCCCATGACTCCTGTCTCGCCCATCTTGAATGGCCATGTGCATGTGCGCAGGACCCTCAAATCCACATGGCATATCTCAGCCTCAAGGACTGCTCTCCCTCATGGTGTGTTTCAACAAACCCTCTCTATCCCTCTCTTTCCTTCCCTGACCTCATTCCCTCTTTTTCTCGGTCCTACCCTTTCCGTTCCAGTCATCCTCTCGCTCCCTGCTTGAATCTGCTTCGTCACTTTGCTGTCTGTACTGCTTGAATCTGCTTCATAACTTCTAGTTAATCTCATTTCTCAAATCTCTCATGTCGTTCCCATCGCCTGCCAACCTTTCAACCGTTCTCCACTCCTCAATTTGCCATTAATTCATCCTCCCTCCGTGTCCCCTTCCCCACCATCCCCTCTCCTTGGTTCTCACTCCTTCCTCCCACGTGTCCACGTGGCAGCTACTCGTTGGTGGATATGCGTAGGCACATCAAGAAACGTCCAACGTTTGCCACCACAGAGAAAGTGCAGCGTTACATACATGTGAGCCTTCTGGGCCTTTGTATACATAATGTGCATCATGTGAGCATATCGTTGTTTTATATACAGGATATACAGTGCATGTTGTGGCACCAGCTGGTTTTTGAGAATTCTCAAAAACCAGCTCATGTCGTTGTTTAATGTACAGGATATACAGTGCATGTTGTGGCACCACGGAGAAAGTGCAGCGCTACATGCATGTGAGCCCGCATGTGTTCGTGTGTACATTATTCAGGCATCATGCATCAAAACCCTCTACTTAAGGCTTCTACTACCTTCTCTCGTTACTGCCTGTACCTGTTCCTTCATGCAACCCCAGGCCCACGCATCACGGGAAGAGAAGGATTTCACCAGGAGGGATATGAGAAGGATTTCATGCTAATGCGCAGGCAGCCCGTGAAAGCAGGACTCGTGGTGAAGGGCGAGGAGAAGTGTGCTTACCCCACTCATTTCCCCTTGTGCCCACCCCCAACCCCCTTTTCCTACCCCACCAGGCATCAGGGCGGGAGGGAATGGTGGCAGGGTTTCACCACGAGGGCTATGAGAAACCCCTTCTCTTCTCTTCTCTTCTCTTCTCTTCTCTTCTCTTCTCTTCTCTTCTCTTCTCTTCTCTTCTCTTCTCTTCGATTCTCTTCTCTTCTCTTCTCTCCTCTTCTCTTCTCGTGCTCATGCGGATGCAGCTCGTGGAAGCAGGGCTGGTGGTGAAGGGCCAAGAGGGATCCCTGCCTCCTCCCCTCCTCTATCTCCTCTCCTCCCCCATCACTTCCGCTCCCGTCTTCCTCTGCTCTTCCAATCCAGGCATCAGGGAGGGAAGCAATGGTAGCCGGATTTTACCATGAGGGGTACGAGGAACCGCTGCTGATGCTCATGCGGAGACAGCCTGTGGAAGCAGGGCTCGTGGTGAAGGGCCAAGAGGGTTCCGTTACTCCCCTTTTCTCCTCACCTCTTCTCATTTCCCCTCCCTTCCCCTCTGTTTTTCCAACTCCAGGCATCAGGGCGAGAGGCCATGGTAGCCGGATTTTACCATGAGGGTTACGAGGAACCTCTGTTGATGCTCATGCGCAGGCAGCCTGTGGAAGCAGGGCTCGTGGTGAAGGGCGAGGAGGGCTCTCTAGCTCTCATGACCCGCCGCCCCGCCCCGGATGCTGCCAAAAAAGGCCGCCCGGTGAACTACTGCGCGGGGTTCCGGCCGGGGAACAGTAGGAGTGGATGGGCGGGGAGAGGAGAGGGGAGTGGAGAAGGGAAAGGTGCCGGGAGTGGGCCGGAGGGAGGGGAGGAGAGTGAGAGTGGAGGCGAAGAGGACGGGTTTTACCGTGAGACGTTTTCGATGGAGGCAGATGCAGTGGCAGCTGGGATGGAAGAGACTCTCACACCAAGGATTGACCGATCGGTGAGTTATTTCAAGTGAACAACTTGTTGCCAGGGCCGGCATATGACAGGATAGTGTTCGATGCTGCTGTGCAGGATCGTCTGCTGGGGTGGGGGGGGGTTACTACAGTGCATGTCCCACTCACCTGCTGTCCAACTCCCCTCCCTCCAACCTTCTGAGACGTCTTAAAAATGGCTTTTGAGACGTCTCAAAAGTGGATTACTACAGTGCATGTCCCACTCACCTGCTGTCCAACTCCCCTCCCTCCAACCTTCTGAGACGTCTTAAAAATGGCTTTTGAGAAGTCTCAATAGTGGATTACTACAGTGCATGTCCCACTCACCCGCTGTCCAACTCCCCTCCCTCCCTCCTTTGCGTCACCATCCCTCTGTCCCTCTCATCCAACAGGCACAGAAGAATCTCGATTTGGGACTGGAAGCACTGAGAGGAGTGAAAGGGCCGGCATATGACAGGATAGTGTTCAATGCAGCGGTGCAGGATCACCTGCTGGGGTGGGGGGCGAGGGCGATTGGGCTGGAAGCAGCGGTGGAGAGGGCGAGAGAGGCAGTGGACAGTGGGCGGGCGATGAGGCACCTCATGGGGTATGTGGAGCGCAGCCAGCAGATGCGGTGACGAGCGGTGCTGAGGGGTGAAGAGGGAGCCTCCCAGTCGACCCAAGAGGTGCGAGAGGTCTGCGGTTGATGCACTGGTGTGGTAGTACTCACCGGTTGGGGTGGGGGGCGAAGGGGATTGGGTTGGAAGCAGCATTGGAGAGGGCGAGAGAGGCAGTGGATAGTGGGCGGGCGTTGCAGCACCTCATAGGGTATGTGGAGCGGAGCAAGCAGACGCGGTGATGAGGGGTGACAAGGGGTGTTGAGGGATCCTGATGGGCATAGAGGGGTGATATGGGGCGACGAGATGGGTCCTGAGTCGACTCTAAGCAGCGGTGGAGAGAGCACGGGAGGCGGTGGATAGTGGGCGCGCGATGACGCACCTCATGGGGTTTGTAGAGCTCAGCAAGCAGATGCGGTGATGAGCGGTGCTGAGGGGTTACGAGGATGCATCTTCTTACATAGTTCCAGTGAGCAGCGGTGTTTAGGAGACGGTTTAAGCATGTAGGAAAGACTGTAAAGCTAAACACTAGCAAAATCGAGAGCCAGCACATGCGGCAATGAAGGGTTACGAGGGTGCGTCTGGAGTTGTCCCATAAGGGGAGACTGACAGGAGGTTGGGGGAGGCAGCGGACGGTGGGGGGGCGATAAGGCACCTTATGGGGTATGTAGAGCAAGCAGATGCGGTGATGAGGGGTGGTGAGGGGTATCAATGAGGGGGGCTTGAGCTTGGTGCATGCAAGGGTAATGTAGCTTAGCATAATGAGCATTTCTGGCCGTGTGTGTGGTGCTTACACACAAAATGCCAAGGTGTGGCACTTCCATAGGCAGTAATAACACATGTTGTGTGCCTAGGGGATGAGTAGTTAATGCTGTGAATAACACCTGGTTGAAAACAGGGGCACTATAAGCTGGAAACACCACATCTAGGGTACCATATTCTGGGATACCATTTGTGTAGGCTGAGGAGAACTAAACTGCTCCTTCTGCCTTAGTAGTACTCCACGCAGAGGAGCTAATGTCTGCCCGTTATAACAGAGTTGACTACAGACTAAAACAGTCTATTCTGCTCCTACTCCATGAAAAGGAGCTAGCATTTGCCCGTTATTAACAGCAATAAAAGGCTGCCGTCAAACCTCCATGCATCTCCAAAGCATGCTACAGCATCAGAAGCACCCTCCTGTGCCCTTCCTCCCGTCAACTAAAAAGCCATCCCCTGGGCATTGAAATTATTCGTTTATCGCCACCAACTACCACCATCAAGCCTCCTCCATCTCTGTATCCATTCCAGTCTCCGGCATTCACAGCACCCTCCTGTGCCCCTCCTTTGGTCAAACGCACCCCTTATGCATTGCATTTATTCATACAGCCGCCAGCCACCACCTTCAAGACTCCGTCTCCGCTTCCATTTAATTCTCCAGCATCCAAAGAACCCTCAGCGGCTCTCCTTCAGTCAACTGAAAGGGGCCATCCCTCGGGCATTGCATACGGTATGTTCATACAGCCACCAGCCCCCACCGTCAAGCCTCCATCTCCGTTTCCAACCCATTCTCCAGCATCCACAGAACCCTCCGGTGCCCCTCTACGTCTGGAACTTCATCTGCCCCTTTAGTAGCAGACTCGATATCCTCCTCCAGAACCATGCTGATGGGGTTTCTGGTAATCCCGGTATCAATGTCAATAATCTCCTTCAACCCCTCGTCAATGGCTCCTCCCTCTTTATTGTCACTCGCACTGTTCGCCTCCACCTTGCTTTCTTCCAAAGCTTCAACGTCAGATCCTTCCTTGTTTCCGTCTCTTACTGTAGCCGTTTCAGTCCCATCCGCGTTATTAGCCTCAGGCTCGTTAACATCGTCGAACACCTGCGGCTCAGGCCCCTTGATGTCGTCCGTTGCAGCAACGGACAGCCCTCCTTGTTCCGCCTGATCCGATACCGCTACTGGCGCTGTTGCTCCTTCCGCCAATCCCCCGTCTTCCGCCAATTTCCCCGTAACCTCCTCTGTCACTCCAGCATGACGCGCGTCGTTCTCCGGAGCGGCTTCCTCGTCGGGTTTCACCAGAAAATCGAGATCCTCCTCCCATTCCACATCGTCATCCTCGTCATCATCGTCAATTCTCCTAATCCCAAGTTCCGACATCATTCCAGACGAGTAGTCCTCCGTATCGTCTTCCGGATCCTCCTCCGCATCCTCTGCCGCGTCTTCCGCGATCCCGTCGTCCGGCTCTGTGACGTCATCGAATGCCTGGAGCTCCGGACCATATCCCAAGTCGCCTCCGCTGAGTTCGCTGCTGCCCTGCTGCGCCGCGTCCCGAGACGATTCGTCCGACTTCGTGGAAGCTTCGTTAGCGGCATTTCCAGCGGGTGAAGACTCCACGGTTTGCGTGTTTCCGTCTTGTGGGTTATGGTCGTCAGCCAAATCCTTCTCCTCTGACGACGAATCGTCGTCCGATGTAAGCACATCCTCCATACTCACCTCGAGGTTATCGGACGCGGAGGCCGATTCGGGCGAATTGGTTTTGGGCCCATCCTTAGCCAGCGCGCTTTCAGCGCTCCATACAGGATTACTGCCATCCACGTCGGCAACGTTATCGTCCACGTCAGCGACAGTCGCTTTCACGGCGAGAAGTTTACGAGCCTGATGGGGTAATGTATTGAACTCGAGGATTCTGCGGCTGAGGTCCGGGCCGAAGCTGAGAGATGAGGATGTTCGGGGCGCGGCGTGGGTGGAGAGGAGAAACGCAAGCGCAAGAACCAACCGCAGACAAACTACTTGTCTGTTGCTACTCCCCATATTGGTAAAAAGCTGCCTTCAGTTGCTTACACGACGTCAAGTGGGACTGGATCGCTTTGGGAAAGCTAATTCTGTCGCGCGACTCAGAATGCCGTAAGTCAAGATTACCAAAGATGCACGACGGATATTCGAAATCGTGTTGGAGCCAACGATGCGGGTGTGTGTAAGTGCGATGAATCAACTGTGCTGTGCTTTCCTGCTTGCGGGATGGGATGTCTGTCATAGTTGGCGTTTCGCGATTCGGTTTCCGCGCCGCCTTCCGTTCAGCCACAGGTGCCACTGCCAGACTGCCAGTGCCATCTTGACCTACCTGGTGCCGTGACTGCTGCTCAAGCTGGGCAGATGGTGGTGAGATAGGCTTGGTGGTGCAGGGTGATGTGACCGCCACGTCTGATTGGTTCCTGACCTGTTGTTCCCCTGAGAACCACTTGTGGGGTGTGGGTGCTTGTGGTTGCCTTGGTGCACATTGTCGAACCGCTTGGGTACAGCTCTGGCAGGTGTAGCAAGAGTGGCTGTAAGGAATTTTCTCAGGCATTCCTTACGGAGCCGACTACATCGCGTACAGCAACAGCCGACTGTTCGCCCGTTACTGCTAACGGAACTTCGCCGACTTCGCGCGCACTGTTTTGACCAAACCTCGCACTGCTGGCATGGCCGTATCGGCCTACGCTTCGGGACTAGCCCGAGCCTCGCTCCAGCGTAGCACTAGCAAGTTCGCACGCACCGCGTTACCGTTTTGCATGTTTCGCGTATAAATGCTCGCTCATGCCTTCGCTCACATTTTGTACTCGTTTGACACCTTAGTGCAATTCTCGCTACCTCGATTCATTGCACCCGTAACACTTGGTTATCAGAGCCCCTTTCTTTCGGACCGCGCATCTCCGCACACCAGGAAATCAACTTTTGATTTTTCACTCGAAGGGACTCACGCACCTTAGCCCCTAGGAGCCGCTGTCCTCGCGTTCTCTCGTAAACGCGTGCAGCCACGACTGCGCCTAGACTAAGACGAGCCGACGCCCTTCGTCATGGCCGAAAACATCGACGTCACCACCCTCACGCAGGAGCGTTTGAACGATCTGCTGCGACAACTGCACGAAAGCTCCGAGGAAATCGCGGCATTGACGGCAGAACGCTCATCACTGCAAAATGACCTCATGAGAGCACAATCCCAAGCACCTGGCACTCCGATTCAACCTGCACCCTCAACATCACAACACGGGAGTGTGGGGCAACCCGCGAGCGCGGCCAGTGATGGCGTCGTCCGCCCCGACGGAGACGACGACCACGGCACGACACACCCCAGAGCGACGCCTGCGGCCCCAAGTCAGCCTCGCGTCACGATTTCGGCACCAACCCACGATTCGGGACTGCCGTCACCGATGCCGCTGAAACCGCAGCGCCCGCCATGCTTTGACCCGAGTCAACGGGGTGGTCCTACCGTTCAGGCGTGGTTATTCACAATGAATGTTTTCTTCGACGCCAACTACGTCTCGGAGGACTCGGCGAAGATTCGATACGCCGTGTCGTTGCTGCGAGGACCCGCCATGGACTGGTGGCGCGTCATCGTCACGAAGCCGACCGACTACGCGACACTACCGACACGGGAAGGACAAACCGGACCCTGGGCGCCGTCGTATTTCGTGGAGGTGCCCCAGTATCGCACGTGGGACGCGTGGTGCGCAGGTCTGCGCGCTCGATTTGAGCCAATCGCGGCCTCGATCTCGGCGCGACAGAAGCTCCGCACTTGGCGCCAACTCGGTTCCGTCCAGGATTACACGAGCGGATTTCTGGCGCTATGCGAGCAGGTGGGCTACATGCATGAGAGCGAACGCATCGACCGCTACATCGGCGGCCTGAAGCAGGACATCGCTCAGGAAATCCAGCTTCGCGGCGTCACTGAGTTTCAGGAAATTCTCGCTATGGCGGAGAAGCTCGACTTCTTTCGCCGACCGAGACCGGGGTCCTACGGAAACAACACCTGGGGACATCGGCCTCGTGGGACGAACGAGAGCGCCACGATACGCGCCGTCGCCGCAAATGCCGCTGCCGCACCGTTCAAAGGGCGCTGCTTTGCGTGCAATCGGCCGGGACATCGCAAGAGCGAATGCCCGGAAAACGCTAAGGGAAAGGGGGAAGCTGAGCAGCAGACACAGACCAAGCAGCAGGGAAACGCTGGAAGTCAGTAGCAGACGGGCCCTCTACTGACAGGTCACGCCGCTCGCCCGACCCA